ACTTGCCCCCATAAGTGTTTTGGGACATTTATTACTATCATCATGTTTCGGGTTACCTTTAGAAGATGTCAATTCTTCCTCTCTATTACTCCATTCTATGCAAATGTGTATGGGAACATAATTTAGTGTTATATCCCTTGAGCTTACAAGTAGTCCCCAAATGCTTTGTTGATATATTCTATCCCATTAGCTGATCTCAGTGCCTTCACAATTGCCCCATTTTGGCTCTGAATTTCCTTGTGAAAATCTTTAAAGTAAGCAACCAACTCACTCTTCTATTTTATCAAATATGTTCAGGTAATACAAGAAAAACAATCAATAAACATAACGAAAACCATTCATAGAACTAGTAGGTAAGACCCTCATACATCAGAGTATATCAAATCAAAAAAATCAGAGCTCCTATTCTCTAAACTGACATAAGAGCTAGTGAGCTTGCTAAACTCAAAAGCATCACACACCAATTTCTCCTTATTTGTCTTTTCATACATAAATGGATACAACTGAATCAATAAATTAAGACTAGAATGTCCTATATGTTTGTGATGTAGTAGTAACATATACTCGACGTTTCTCTCAATTTCTTCTATTACAGTACTTTCCATCATGGATGTCAAAGCTGAGTACACCCTCCCCTCTGTTCAAGTACTAGAATCTATTATGTCACATTCTAGTCCCAAGCGTCTGACCCGTTCGTTTTTCTTAGAAGATTACATGAGAAATTTCAAAAGAAACAATACATTTTAACTGAAGAATAATGACACTAATGGATAAGAGATTTATTGAAAAAGAATGAGTATGCAAAATATTGGATAAAGTCATATGATTTGTACATTTTATTGTACCTTTACCAACTACAGACTACGTTGTGCCATCAACATTTTAGATACTCTCTAGTTCCGCTAGATGGGTATATGAAGAGAACTCTCCGGTGGTATCAGTTATATGCAAGAAACACCAGAATCTATAATCAATTCTTAAAATCTCGTGATGGATATAGAAGCATGAGCAAGTGTACCTTTGCTAAAGTGAGCATTAGTGGCAATGCTACCTCTTGATGTCAAAGGATTTGAAACTTCCTCAGCTGCATCTGCTGCTGCTTTCTACTTTCTCTTCAACATCTTTAGACACTCATAATCTTCACTAGTAAAGATCACACATGTCTCTCCCTCGTTACCATTATATTTGTCGGTAGCCACCTTTTTTATCTTTCTGACTCCCATGACTAGGACCTCCATCTACCTCTCTCTCTCCTCAAGTGGCTTAGGACAAGCGCTGCTCAGATGGTCAACTTCATCACAATTGTAGCATTTGCGATTCTCCCCTTGGAAACCTAGCGTACCCGAGCTCGCAGCAACCAATGCTAGTCTTCCACCCAAATAACCACTCGCCTCAGAGCGTAACTTCATGCAATTCTTCTCATATATCATCGCAGTAATGACTAGTGTCATCTAGTGTAGGAATTGTTGCCTGAACTAGGAGGACAAATTTTCTTGATTAAAGTTTTGATGAGTTGGAAGATGCATATTCCTCATATGTGTAAAGATCTCTCGTTTCTTGCACTTTAGATCGTTACAAGTCGACATCGTTGAGAAGTAATCAAGATCCACCCACATCCTACCTATGGAGAATTCCTGAATTGTTTTCTCACCCTGTACCACAACTTCTATCTCACGTTGAATCTGGAATACGCTCATGTGGCTCTCAGTCCCAACATAAATCTTCTTCAACTTTGCCCAGATGTCTCTCGCTTTTTGAATGTCATTGACTGAGGACGCAATTGACGGAACCATTTAGTTGAGTAGCCAGGTGTAAATTAAGGCTTGAGTGGTCCTCCACTTATCCTTCTCAGCACCATCACTCTTTGGTTCGTTTCTAGTTAGATGTCTCTTTCCCGAAACTAGAGCCATCTCAATCCGATATGATTAGCTCAGATAAGTGGCCGATCCATAAAGCTTCAGATCCATACGGAGGGAGATCTAGCTTCACCTTCGTCGAAGCATGTGTTGAAGTCGCGGTTCTTGTCGAGGCATTAGCTCCCTGTATGAGCCCTACCAGGACCTTTAGGACTTCAGGATCAATCCTTCCGGAAAGATCCAATCATTTACTCCCCACACTATCTCCATCTCCCGTCATCTTCAATCACCTGGACTTCCTTCTAGGTCATACACACCATGAACAATTCCCTTTCTCCTTTAGGCCCGATTTTGATCTATCTCGTCTCTTCATGCGGCGGTCGAACTGCAGGAGATGCGGCTGTGGTGGCTGCTTGAACAGACGACGGTTGTGGCTGCGTGGAGGGTGGCCGCTAGGGTTGTTTGGCTTGCTAGGTTTTGGAGAGGAAAAGGTAGAGATGGCTTGGGTTTGGCTTTGATACCAAGAAGAAAGAAATAAGCCTAAAATTAGGTATTTCATTCAGCATATGTGTTTAAATAGGGGTTACAACATTTACTCAATAAAATCCTCTAATTACACACAACTCTCAACATGCATGATGCTAATTGACATGAATATGAGCTGTCAATTATTAAATATTCTCTAAAAACCTGATGAATGACGTACTTAAGGGTTTATACTTGGGGTTTTGGCCATATAAGAGTCAAACTGATTGTCTATATTCTAGAATTGATGTACCCTGATTGGCTATATACTTGAAATGATGCAACCTATTATTTAAACTTGTTGAATATGGTGTGGAATGTCCCCACAATTCCATAACGAAAGATCCCATCCCATCCTTGTCGACGGTTGTTCTAGATATGATGCTTAGATTCTTTGTGCACAGCTGCTTGCAAGCTCTCCCAAATATGTTATCACTCGTTGCTTTTCCTCAAGCCAACATTGATCTCCAACAAATCCTATTATCATCTCATCTTCCAAGAAATCTCACCCACAATTCTAGTTATGTTCGAATCTCAGAACTCCGTCTGAGTTTCATCACACAAACAGTAGTGTCGTATCCCAATATAGATTCAGTGAATATCATTCGAACATTTCGTTGAGAGTATGCAACCATTGAGCCGATTGCCTCTTCATTTTAGTGAAGAGATTTATATTTAATAAGAGATATCTAGCAATATCTTCTTGATCTTGCTATTTTATTGTTGTTTATGTTTGATTTGTAATTCAAAAATATTTATAATAAATATTCCTTATTTTTTTGAGCTAATCAACAAGAATAGCTTTACATTGTTGATCTTTTTTTTTTATTGCCACAATATAATCGATGTGCAACGTTTCCTTATTATCTGAGTGTATATGGATTGTTATCACTAGATCTCTTTGAATAAAAAATGAAGTCATTAGAAGTTTTTTTTAAAGAACAATATACTTTGACATATTTCCTTTGGAGATCATTGAACATCCTCCTTAGATGATTGACCATCCTTTTGAAACCACCAAAATGCTCTTGAAGATCAACCTTTACTTCATGCTAACCACAATAACGCAACCCCACCTACTGAGGAGATTATAGAAGGAAGGATATGCAAACAGTTAAAGCAACACCACTGGTGAACAAGAATGATCGAATAGAATTATGGTTAGAGGGACAACTGCCAGTGCATATCACCAAGGGATAAACTCAAGATTTTTCTCAAGAGACATCGACCAACTTTTTCCTTGGTGTCACGCCTGTTATTCTAGCACCCAAAAAGGAACCGCTTGAGAGATTGTGGCCAAATGTATGGTTATCGCTTCTATTAGATTTACTTGGTAGCTCGACTTTGAAGGCAAAGTAGCAGTAATGATGTTAATCTATTTGCAATTATATTATTTTTTAATAGTAGTTAACAGGAATAATTAGTTCGAGACATTGTTTTCTATAAATATCCCATTTGGGGAGATGATGACATAAGAATTGTGATGAATTACACTTTCTCCCTGTAGCTCTCTTTTCTTTATTTTGGGAGTGATAGAGCGGCCCAAAATCCTCTAATTATGATTGAGGAGCCTAGCATACAGCCAGAGGCATTCCAAGCAGTATCTATTGAAAATATATTAATGAAAAATAGAATTTGATAGCATGAGGCTGTACAATGAAGTTTAGAAGATGCATTATTTGGAATGAGAAGATAAAATTAATTTAAAATACTAGGAATAAAAATTTATAGACCAAAGATGACCTGGATAGGAGTCATGTAAAGAAGTCATGTAAACTTTCTGGAGCTTCTTTTTGCAGGGTTGTTACTCATCACATACTTGTGCCATTTAACGCAGAATGGCATCCTAGCTTGCAGAAGTTATTTGTTATGGTAGAACTTGTTCGTTAATATGTTAATATGCCTATATTTTTTGAACATGTTACTCAAGAAACATTCAGTTTCAAACCATCATTTGATGTTTTCGTTGAATTACCTTCAAATATCACCTACCTATTTCCTGCAATTCTTGTTGTTTGTAAAAATCTTGATATCATGATGATAATGCCATTTTTGAAAATATATGACGCATGGTGCTGCAGTAGACTTTTAAAAAACCCATTCTTAGATAAGGCATTGTACATTTCAACAGTAGTATCAATAGAGATGAAGCATCATAATTATCTTTCATTGCATCCTTTTTGTCTTAGAACTGCTGCATCCTGTATCTTATACATTTTTTAGGTTGCCAAGAGAGCTTTTGTTGCTAGTGTGGAGGGCTTTAGTCCATTATTGTATTTCTACTGCATGTATCTATACTTACCTGTGAACCAATATTAGCTGGTGTTATTACGTGAAATGTATCTGCTAGGCTATCTCATTGTGATATTATTTGTTTCGTGTGAAATTATCATAGTTTTATTTTGAAAATGTAAAAAATCAGCAAACCATAATTTACTGCATGTGTTCTATTAGCAACTGTTAAGCTAGGGCTCCTATATTAATCCATCTGTTATAGAAAGCAATTAGCGCAATTTGCTTAATTCTGTTTTTGTTTTTTATGAAATGGTTTTTTACAATATTCTCCTTGATATTTCAAACAAGGATACTCTGCTGACTAGTTTCCTATGAAAACCTCAGGGAAACCACGTAGCTTTGTTATCTTCCTTTACTGAGATGGGACTTAAGCTGCGGCTTGACATGCCGGATCAGGCTATGGAGGTTTCAACCCTATTTTTCCGTAAATCCACACTGGCTAGTGAAGCACTTGTAAGTATGCTGCATGGTTTTGTTATTGGATTTAAACCTTATTCGTATTTTCTAATTAAACATTTTTGTTATTGCCTTCAAAATTGGCAATAATTTTGTTTATGTTTGCTAAGGAAAATGTGAAGTCTTTGAATGGCCAAAGAGAAAAGAACATGAAGATTATTCAAGAGAAAATGAACCTGGATTCAAAGGAGGCTAAGCGCTTTAATCCTGTAAGTTGAAGTATATTTCAGTGCAACAATATTGAGAACTTTGAATGAAATCTATCAATGCAATTGATGACATGCACGAAACCACGTTGCAGGTGGATGCTTTCCCTGGTGATGCAATTATCTTTATGAGGGTTCTAAATCTTCTCCGAGGTTCGTAAATCTTAACAATGTCAGGAGTATCATTATCATTTTAATAAAGAAATATACATATGACCCGACCTTTGTTTCTTCAGGGCTTTCATCTACTATGAATGTTAGAATTGCTTATCTGGACATTATGAAGCCATTTGCAGAGGAAGCTTTGCTTGGGTAGGATTATGGGTTTCCTGGTCGTTTTTCATTATTTGGATTCTGTGATAGTATATGCCTATTCTATCTATTCTTGAAACAGATTCCTTATTCTGCAGGGCTTTACATATATACCACACAATTCTTATATGGTTACATATCTAACACCTAAACTTTACTTTTTTACAATTATACCACCCATGTCTTCCGTATCACGTTAAAAGTATCTCTATTTTAACTTTTAAAAAGTGAAATACACTTTTTCATGCATAGGTAAAGCGGTATATGCATAAAAATTAAAGTTAAGGCATTAGATATTTACATATGAATTGAGAGATATCTATGTGAATCTTCCCTCTTATTTTTCTTATTTTTCCGTTTTCTGACCTGTTTGTAAATTCCAGGAAATCAAACAATGCACCAAAGATAAATGCGGAGTGGATTTGCGATACACCAGCTCACTCTGATGTAGACGTTAAGTTAAGGCAGCTCTTAGTTGAGATGGGCGATAAAATTCTTGGGTTACAGGTAATGTCTCACTCATTTGATTATATGGACCCAATGCTTTTTTTATTATCAAATTTATTTATGCTGCTCAGATTACAATTTCTCGATAAACTTTTGATGGTTAGAACCAAATAGTCCCAACATTTATGTTTTTTCTTCCCTCTTCCCTTTTAATTGGCAACACGCACCCTTATCCATGTAAAGGATTAAGTTGCCATTCTTTGTTGTTCAGACGGATTTTCTGCTCCCCTTTTTTTTCCCTTTTAAAATGTAGGCTAAATTGTATTTACATCACATGCCATGTCAAGAACATAGCTTGTATAAAGTGTTCATGAATATGATTAAGGTGACATTAATTTAAATTTCTTTGAACTGCAATCAAAGAATATTTTTATGAGCTCAAAATCATTTAGTTATTATTTCTGGATTTTATTTTGAACAAGATAATAATGATTTTGTTAACTTAGGTATGTGCCTACAAAGATGGAGAAGTTATTATAGATACTGCTGCTGGTGTGCTGGGAAGATATGATCCTCGTCCTGTTCAACCTGATAGCCTATTTCCAGTATTTTCAGCAACAAAAGGAATTACTGCAGGGATGGTGCACTGGCTTGTTGACAAAGGGTACAAAATTGTTATATTTTACTGCAGGAATGCTTCAATAAAAGAGAAAAACTTATCGTCTGATACGAAAGTAGTCGAATGATTAATTTTAGCCTTACTTTTCATGAGTTAACTACAGTTTTGCATGAAGGGGACCTAATTTTGGGTTAAATTATCTTGCAGGAAACTCAAACTTGATGAAACTATTGCCAATATATGGCCAGGGTTTGGCATCAATGGAAAAGATCTTATGAAGGCATTAAATTTACCAGTTTCATGTTAATTGATTTGATGGCCTTTTGTTTTCCAAAATTCCAAGATTTTTGTCCTGCTTGTTGAAAATTTTAATGAATTTATTATTATTATTATTTTTTAGGTTTACCATGTCCTCAATCATACATCTGGACTGCACAATGCTATGGCTGACGTCATCCAGAACAATCCTTTGTTGTTTTGTGACTGGGATAAATCGTTAGACCATATTGCTAAGTGTAGCCCTGAGACAGAAATTGGTACCCAGCAACTATATCACTACTTATCTTTCGGTTGGCTTTGTGGCGGTATCATTGAGGTTTGCGTTCTGTTTCCTTTGTAATGGCACGCTGATAATATTTAGGAAGATTTACTTACATACCGCTCGATTCCTATGTACTTGCATATCTAACACCTAAACTTCAATTTTTACATATGCTACCTTATCTTATGCATGAAAAGTTGTTTTCCATTTTTTGAATGTTAAAATGGTGGTATTTTTTGTGTGATATGAAAGATTTGGGTGGTATAAATGGAAAAGATAAAATTTAGGTGTTAGATATTTAATACACGGGAATTGTGCGGTATGTATGTAAATGCCCCTAATATTAATACCTTGCACATTAGAAGGATCATATTCAATCAGCATAAAGTTGTTTCTGTTGGTATTATATGACATTCGCATCTCATGTATGATGATTTTCTAATGTGAAATGATAAGAAATGTGCCAAATGATTTTCTAAAATAGATTTAACTAAATTAATGCTTAATAAAACTGAATGTGAAATGAGAATTCATACATTGCAAATAATTAAAGCTAACTACAATGCTCATGTGAATTACGCTTTTTGATAAGTTCAAATTCTTAATATGTTCATGGCAGAATGCTTCTATTTTCTTCATGCTATGTTTGCTTCTTTTTTGTTTCCCCAATCTTTTCCCACAATGTTTTCACTATTCAATTATCTAATGAATCTCTCTTGTCCAAACAGCATGCGTCTGGGAAAAAAATTCAAGAAGTATTGGAAGAAGCTATAGTTCGCCCTCTCAACATTGAAGGCGAGTTATACATAGGTATCCCCCCAGGTGAGCAAGCAACTCTATCTACCATTTAGTTCTAAAACTACCATTCGTTTAGTGAAATTATGATAACTACAATTTAAGGAGTTGGTTTTTATGGATAAGAGACATTAATTTTAATTATCTCCTTTGCTGATTAGAAATTCTAAATTTTTTTAAAAAAAATTTATTGCAATTTCGAGTCAAATAAATTTGAACCTATTTTGTTGTGAATTTCCACCTTTTTGGCTTTATAAATGGCCTAGAGAGAGGGAGAGAGATGAGAATGAAGAAAAAGAGAGTGAGATAGAGAAGGAAATTAGAGAGAGAAAGAGAGGAAGATGGCTTGGTTCTTTTGTTATTGGCTTTGGTTATACTTTTGGTAGTTGAAAAGTAAAATTTTATGTTTGGGTGGTCAATCCATTATATTTAAAATTTTGGGTGGTTGATATGTAAAAGCTGAACAACAACAACAAGCTTTTATCCAATTAAGTGGGGTTGGTTACATGAATCATTTTTTTCTATTGTGTCCTATTGAGTGTCATATTTTTATTTAATTCTAATAGATTAAATCATTTTTTATACTTTTTATACAATATGCCCAAGTATTTTTAGGTTTACCTAAGGTGAATCTAAAACATCTACTCTCCTCAATAAAAAAAAATAAAAAAAATACGCTACTGCCAGACTAACCTTGCTTCAATGTCCTATCTTGATCTTGTCTCTGATTTTCTATTATTAGAAGTCACATTTGTATTTATTTCAGATAGTTGATAATTCTCTAGTATTTTATCTAATCGTCATTTTCATTTTCTATTAAAGTCTGCTGCTTCGATTAGAAATGTATCTCAACGTAAAAGATAATAATCAGAAATATACCTTTAACTTACAAGCATGAGTTATCTTTTTGTTAATTAATATCTCTCAACAATGAAAATATACTCACAAGGTGTGGAGTCTCGCCTAGCAACACTAATGCTCGACATAGATGACATCGAAAAGCTTGTCGCTATCCAATCAAGATCTGAAATTCCCGGCAGCCTCCGACAGGGCAATATCGTAGAGATGGCAACCACTTTACCTTTCTTCTTCAACACGCTTAACGTGCGTCGAGCTATCATCCCAGCCGCCAACGGTCATTGTTCCGCCCGTGCCCTAGCTCGCTACTATGCCGCTCTTGCCACCGGCGGAACCATTCCTCCTCCTCACTCATCCCTCTCCAAACCACCTCTCGGCGATCATCCTCACATTCCAAAATTCCCGTCCGAAAAACTGAAGAAAAAGTGCAGAAGTTGCAACATCAAACCACCCAGCTTAGCTTGTACCATATTCAGCCACAACGATGACAGCATAACCTACAATCTTGTGAGCAACATGGTTGAAGATGAGGCAAAACAACAAATGTTCAGCAGCCCTAACATTCATGATGCATTCATGGGATCGGGCGATTTCTCAAACTTGGTGTTCTCAGAAGGTAAATTTGGGCTCGGTTTCCGGACTTTCGAGACCAGCGATGACAATAACATGAGAACCTTTGGGCACTCCGGTGTCGGCGGCTCAACCGGATTTTGCAATGCAGAGCACAATTTCGCTATTGCGGTCACAGTTAATAAGATGTCACTTGGTGGTGTTACAAGAAGAATAATTCGGCTAGTTTGTTCTGAGTTAAAGATCCCATTACCTGCCGAGTTTTCAGAAGACGGGGAGAAGGGACCTGATATGCAGCTTAGCTTACAGCAATCTTAGACTATAATGTTGATTATGTGCCAAATGTTGGAAATAATATGTGATATACATTATAGAAACATAGGACTAAATTTCAAAATCCCTTACTGAGGAATACCTGCTAGATCATACAGCCAAGTAAAAAGGTGTAATTTATGGTTTTAAGGGGATTGTACCGGCTAATTTATTATTCACCTTGAGATCTTTGCAGTTCCAAATTGATTCTTGGATTTTATTGTTTACCAAAAATCAAAATTGTTTTTGTTTATATCATGCACAGACGTTTTCTAAAATATACGAAACAAATAAAATTCAATGTTATAATTCATTTTTTAAAATTATAAAATGAATCTCTTATTAAGCAAAGATTTTTGCTTAACAATACTAATTGGAAAAGAATAAGTAAAATAACTGGAAACATGATCTCTTAAAGAATTGAAGGGCATGGAGTGAAAAGAAAATGGGAGAAATGTGTGATTTAGGTTGACATGTTTGTTTGACATAAGATTTAGTTTGTTTATTTGGTTTAGGAGAAATGTGTGATTTTTTTTAATGAAAATTTTAGTTTTTTTTTTTTTTTTAAGAAGAGGAAATATGAGAGTTAAATTATTGAATTGATAGTTTTCTTTCTATTATATTTTAAAATTTTTTATTTTATTTGTAAAACTTATAATCGAACTTGGTAAGAAAATTACAAATGATGCGTCATCAATAAATTTCTATTATTCCGTATGAATCTCGAGGCGTTGCATGGATCTCAATGTAAATTTTTGAAAAATGGACGTTCAACCTTTAATTAAATGTTATTCTGGATTTTAATTTCATCAAACTTTAGTTAAATTGATCGCCTCGAGAAGACGGATCTAAAAATATCAAAGTTGGTCAAATTTGAGTCAAATCAAAATAAAATCAAGCTATTAAATCACATTTGTAAGCTTTACGGGCATAATTGGAAGGTCGAATGGATTACGAATGTGACAAACTTCAAGTCAAATTGAGCAACTCGACAAGACGAATACTAGAAGCTCAATATCGCACAATGCCAGCATCATTAAGGCACTCAAATATTTATCGAACACCGTCTAATCAAGAGAATTTTATTATACCGTCTGATTATAAGTGGCCTATATTCATTCCTTATTTACAATTTGGATTATATAAATAGATTCTCACCCTCCTTTTGAGGGGGAGATTAGACTGAGAGCAAGAGGAAGGCCAGAGTCTAGAAAAAGGGGAGCTGATGTCTTGGATCCAACACCGACGATCCGACGTACATCTCCCACTCCTGCATTCTCCAATCACCGACAACCATCGTTGGCCTCCTGCACCTGTAGCCGTCAACCACCGTCGATCACCACCACCGGCACCTTCGGCTGCTGCCACTTCTGGCCAACTTTGGTCACTGCTGCCTTCAGGCAACAACGACCATTGTTGTCAACAACTAACTCTTGCTACCTCCACCGACCAACTCCGACCACCACTTACCAACCTTTGTCGACCGTCATTGGCTGCCACATGCTACTTGCATCGAAGTCCCTTGTGAAGTCACAATGTGGGATGCAAAATGCTAGTGTACTTTGTGCAATGGTGAAACACCCCATAGATGGTGTAACAACTTACCTCGGCTACAGTGTAACGAAGCCTCTCAAAGACGGTGCAACAACACACCCCGGAGACGGTGCAACGACACGCCTCAATGACATTGTAACAACACACATCATGTTCCTCAAAAAAATTAATAATATAATCAGGAGATTAAGTCCTGCATCCTAAGTAATATTATTGAAGCTCTCAGGAATACCAATTGTCATTAAATTATATTAATTTCTATAGAAAAAAAATTAAGAGCTCATCGCTCAAAGCCTTCATTCTTTAGATGATATGCTATGGCTGAATTCTTAATACACATTTTATTTGACTGGAGAACTCAGCTCTTTAAAGAACCTTAAAAGCATGCTATTTATTATGATGCGATTAGTATAAACTCCATGACACGCCTTAAGAAATCATTGATAAAGTATTACCAATACTTTTTGTTCTATTAAAGCCGAACAATAAATTTTTAGTACTGATTAACCTTCTTAGGGTCTGTTTGGGGCAACTTATTTGGTGCGGTGGCGTTTTGAAAACGCATCTGGCCTATTTGGGTGAACTGCGTTTTGACAGCTTATGTGTTTTGAAAACGTTGAAAACAGTGTTTTCACACTGTACCTATCTAGGTGCGGTGGCAGATTTTTGACAGCGGTTTGACTTTTCCAAAAAATTAAAAATTTATAATAGTTACCGCACCTAGTTTATCAGCAGATTATTTTTAATCAGCTTATCAGCAGATTATTCAATAAGCTGCAGCTGCCCCAAACAGACCCTTTAGTCTGGTCAAGAAATACATCAAAGACCATTATTTTCTTAGTTCATTATCATAAATATCACATGATATATTTAAGTATTATCATACTATATCACTGTCATAAATAAAGTACCTTCACAATTTGTAATTTGAAATATTTGATCTATACTTAACACTGGGTGCTTTGCATATTTGCATTCTTGAATTCAAACACATAAAAAATAAATATATTTAAAACATTTTCACTGTCAAGCTTAATCTTAACATATATTCCTAAATATTTTCTAATTATCATAATTATATATAATGATAACTTCTAAAATGATAGCTCACTCATGACATCATTAACTATTATTATTGGACAAATCAATGTTACAATCCATCTTTGCATATGGTATAATTGTCTTTGCTTTTATGTTATAATTCAATGCAATAAATATTTTTTGTTAATCATATGTCTGATGAGCCATAATCGAGTTCATCAATAAAAGTTTGTTATGATTTAAGACTTTTAATCCAAAATATATTTGAGGTTATTATTTTCTTAGTTTGCAAACTTTGAGAGTATTGCTCCGAAGTACAATGCATCGTATATGGCGAACGAGGAACTCAACATTACAGACATTGAATTAAATGTACTTTTTTAAGAAGTTGACCGTTACAGGATAAAAGTTATCCATGTGTAAGGCTGTCAAAAAAGCTCGTTGTCCGCGAACAGCTCGTGTTCGGCTCGTTCGTTCGTTAAGTATACGAGCCAAATACGAACAAATTTTTAAAGCTCGAATTATAAACGAACCGAACACGAACAGCTCTTTGTTCGCTCGTGTTCGGCTCGTTTTAGCTCGAAATAAAAAAAAATTATATAACTTTTATATAACAATATATTACATATATTATTTATATAATAATATATTATATATATTTATGTCTAAGTTTAAATTATAACACCTTATTGTGGCAATGTGATTAGTATATTCTTTTGTATATATTTGATCCAGGTTCGAATCCCACACTTTACATCTTTTTTTTTTTCATTTAAAGTTTACTTCAATGTAAGTTTAACGAGTCAATTTCAAGCTAAAAACGAACACAAATATTTAAATCAAGCCGAACACGAACACACTGTTCACGAGCCGATTTCGAACATGAGTTATTTCAAACAAGCCGAACACGAGCCAAGTCTGCGCTCGCTCAAGCTCGGCTTGTTTACAGCCCTATCAATGTGTTTTCCATACTTGACTTTTAGTTGTAACCCCATGATATATGAAGAATCATAAGACATTCTCCTTTTGCTAGTTGATTAATAATAAATTATAGCTATGAGTTTTTGTGGACATTTTAGCCTTAAAGTATCTATGATATCACTATCATCAACAACCTAAATGTTCATAATATCATCTACATTTGTATGCTAGATGTTTATATCATCATCTATTTTTGCATTTGGTATGTTTATATCATCATCTATTTTTTGCATTTGGTATGTCCACATGGACCATATCATCACTTGTACCATAAGAAGGTGGTGAATTGGCAGATATACTATAGTTCTCATTTATTAAAAAAAAAGTATGGTTTCTCTTTTTTGGAAGCATTAAACACATATATGAGAGTGGTGTTGAATGAACAAGAATATCATCTTAAGAAAAAAAAAATTATATTATAATTATTAAGTAGTCCAATTGAAGGAATCAATATTGTTTGTCATGCTTAATTAAAATGGTAAACCACTTTTATTTTTAGATTAACCTCTATTATTTTGTACATAAAATCTAGAGATATTCAAACTTTTTTTTTAGCACCATCAATTATTTGCTTTATCTTTTTTTAATATCCATTTAATTTGTATACCCTACTTTCATTCTTCTTTGTATAGTATATGAATGCTAATACTTGAATGATATTTTTAAATTATATCATTAGTCATAACATATTTCGAACATGGATCTGATCATATTTGAATAATGTTCAAAAGTGTTCCAACCTATGTTCAGACATGTTTGCATACATGTTCATATCTTATCCTGCCCTTGTTCTAATCATAGTTAAATTTGATTCAAATAATGATTGAACAATATGATTAAGAGCAGGAATTTATTCATGTTTAGTATATTCAAACTATATTTGATCATGTTTTGAACTAGATCTAAACATTATTTTCACACATCCTAACAAGAATCAAAACACACTATTCCATTATTCCATATTCTATCATGTTAATCATTAGAGTTCCATTCCATCATACATCATAAACTATTAAAAAAAGGGGTTCAATTATATGTAGACCACCCAAAACTTGCTATTTGCAAATCAACCCTCCCCTTTCACCCATTTTCCTAATTCTCACTCAAATATCAAAATCATGGTAAAATTCTAACTCATATTTTTTATCTTTTATCAAATTCTCAATTGTTTATTCATGACATCGGTTTGGTTTTTCAAAAAAAATCAATTAGATGTTTAATTTATAAATATCAATATTTTCAATGATTTGCATGTAATTATGACTAAAAAATATAGTAATTGGATACAAGGAAAATAAGCATATTTTGGCCATAAATAACTTCTAAAAATATTTTTTTAAGTAAATAAACAACTGAATTTTTCCCCTTCAACCTTTACTATTATGGGGCATTTATTTTAGTTAAAAAATAAAAGAAAGCACAAAATAAATTGAAAAAGAAATAACTGCATCACGTTCGGCGGATCGCCCTAACGATAAATTCCGCGGTAATTTGGTGCGAAACCCCCTTCCCGTCGCAGCAAATAGCGGCCGAAGACTTCGTCTCTCTCTCACATCGGTCTTCTTCTCGATTCAATTGGCCATTGTTTCTGGTATCTTCTTAAGTTTTTTATTATTTTCAATATTTGCTGTATTTATTTACTTTAGTTGATCTTCGATTGAATTAGTTGTATTTGATGGAAATGATGATCAGCTATCTATTGCCGGTTATATTCCGTTGTTTCTGTGCCTTAGATCTGCAGTTGACTATGGTTATTTTAATAATATTTTTGGAATGAAGGATTGACTATGATGCAGAGCATAGTGAGACATTTGACTGTGTTTTTGCCACCGGCTTAGTGATAAATTTATTTATTTTTTTTTAAAATTGTTTTATGTTTGATTATCTGTATTGCAATGATTTGAATGCTTTCGACTTTGATATGCTATTTTCAGTTTCTTCTTATATGCTATACTGTTTCACCGATATGTTTGGTTTATCTTTCAATGGATCACATTATTGGATAGATGAGGATTTCTTTTGCCTGTATGTAGTACTTATTTGTCACTAATAAACTTTCAAATTTTGATTCTCAGGATTTTTAATTTCATGTCTTGTTTTGGTTTTCTTTCCCTTAAAATGAGAGTGAACCATCGGTGTGTGTTTGATCACAAATCATGCTTAATTTTGGCTTAACTTGTTTTGTAGCTTAGGAGTTCAACTGATAAGTAATAATTTTATTCAAGGTCTTAATTTAATATATGGCTTTGGTACATTAAGAAAATTACCAGTGAGGGGGGATATTTAAATGTTTGTGTGCTTCTCTTGATTGGTGATGGCTATCTTCATTAGTGTGCTTAATAGAGGTTATCAGATATGTAGTTTGAATTAAAAAAAGTAAAAGTACTTTAACTCGTGATAAGGAGTTCAATTTAAGTGTGTGATACGCAACTATATCTATGTTTGAATCTGCAATAGTGATTGTAAGTCTATAACAAATATTTTTTCTGTAATCTTAGGTTGAGCAAACATCATTTAGCACACTATTTGTAGTGCGATTTTAGACAATTATCTTAGAAAAGTTGATCATGTTGTGAATGTTGTCACTAGGATTGTAGTACTAGATCCAATTACTTTCATATCCCTCCTTGCTAATTACTATGCAATTATGATTAGCATTTAATTATATAGTAAGATAAAATACGGTGATTGCTTAATTGAACATTAGCCTATGACCCTTTTTTATGTTCATGGATAAAATTTTAGCAACACATTCCCAGTTTGCTAACAATAATAGCCCACTACATCAACAAAATTCATATTATTTTATAAATGTAATTAACATATAGTTAATAAGTGTTTTCATATATAAAAAAACATCATAATATTAATGCACAACACCCAAGTAACATTCTCAAATACAAAAATAATTTTGAGCCATGTACCATCAAATCTAGATTTCTTAGAGAGATGAATGCTCCTCCATTAACAATCATGAATCGATTGCACTAAATTACATCCAACAAAAGTTGTTACAAAGTATACTAAATAATGGTACTCATGTAACAAAGTTATTTATCAAGGAGATAATACATCCCAAATCTACTCCTTAAATATCAATTAGTGTTGGCCATGATAAAGATCTAAAAAAATATAGTGTTGGCCATGGCAATTTCTTTTCACATTATTAGATGCCATAAACATTATATTTTGTATAATAAATTCATATGTTATTTGTTTGTTTTCACTTCAGCTTTGAAATATTTCTTCTTATTCCTTAGAAGTGAGGTACATGTGTGTGTGTGGGAGTTTCGTGTTATTCCTTATAAGGGAGGTATAAGCTTGTTTGTGTGTTTTATTTGTGCGTTTGTGTGCCCAAAGCATTTTTAATGAGGGAAAAAATTACATAAAATTGAAAATTCCACCAAGAGAATTCATGGGTTAGCACTATGTGTGCTCCTTATATTGTTTGGTGCTTTCCGTTTACGTCGAAAAGCCTTGCATTTGGAGTTCCTTAGACTTCATGCCACTGGCAAATTACAGCTCCGCCCTCCCACTTGCATGTTTTGGCTAGGGTTCTTCTTCCTCTCAATTTGCTCATTAAATACTGTGTCTTTCCACCACATTTACTTCTACATGTTTATGTATAAACTATTTTAACAAAAGGGAAAGCACTATGCAACATGAGGAGGACCCATAGTGCTAGCCCATTAATTATCTTGGAGGAATTTCAATTTTATGGAATTTTTCCCATCTTCAAAATGTTTTTGGCCACACACGCGCCCGCACATATTCACTCACTCGTTCACATGAAACACACGCGCGCGCGCATACGTTTAAGTTGAAACACACACATAAGTGTACAACTAACTTATAAGGAATAACAAAAAACTCACACACACACACACACATGTAAGTCACTTGTAAGGAACAAGATGAAACATTCCAAAGCTGAAATGAAAAAAAAAAAAACAAATAGTATATGAATTTAGTATTACAAAATATAATGTTTATGGTACCTAATAATGTGCAAAAAAAATGTAGATTTTAATTGTAATTAATAGGGTGTGACTTTGTTGAGGTTATGGTTTGCATCAGTTTCCATAACTTATGAGAGTTTGCTTCTTGAGAGTTTATGTTGTGGTACTCATCAAAGAGATTTGGTGCTATACGCTACAATTTCTCATTAGCAATCAAGGAGTTATTGGTTGGTGCGTGATGTCTCCAACAAATGAAGAAAAGGTTATTGTGCAGAAGTTCTTGCAATGAATTTTTTGTGATTGTTTGTGTAATATCATAATATGCAACAACACGTGTATTATACTATTTGCATAACTAAGATTGGAGCATAAAATTGTCCTATATAATAATCAATATGCGATTTTTGCAATCAGTAGAAGTAGGCCTAAAAAATTTTTAACGAGAAACATTGTCATGCATTATTTTAAGTCAGTGTTTACAACATTTATTTGATTGTCTTTTTAAGAAAAGAGAAAATATTTAGGGCAGCAAAATGTTTCTTTAGATCTTTATCATGGCCAACACTAATTGGTATTTAAGGTGTGGGGTTGGGATGGATTATCTCCTTGATGATGAACTTTGTTACTTGAGATTCATTCTTTATCTTTGAGCATGGCATAAAATGACTATCTCGAAGAATGTATAAAATCATGATCATGTTTTGTTTTAAGAATTTTTTATTTCGAATCAACAAATATAGATAAAAAATGGATCAATACTTTTTAAAACATATGAGTATCGATTGAGGCAATTGATAATGGATATTGATAACGATATTGTTAACCCTTGCACAAGTTATTAAGAAAGTGCTAATGAGATGGTCGAGTTAGAGCAAATCATCAATGTTTTAGTTAATGTGATTCAATGTTATATATTTGATTTTATGAACAAGTATTATGTAATATAATACTATGCTTGCAAATTATCAAAAAATACTTGATAATTTGGTTTAATATATTATGATGTGAATGATTTAGAATTATAAAAAAAAATTTTGAGTCTACTTTTGTATCTCTAAGATTTCATATACACAGTTAAATATTAAAGTTATAAATATCTAAAAAATCTATGAATTCTCTAAAATACAAACAAAAAGATATTTCAGACATTTATCTACAGACAACTACAACACATCACTTTCGAAATTGGATTTTTCAAATAAAAAAAAATGCTTCTACAATAGTTGATATTTTATTCAACAATTAAAAAGTGAATTTTTTATAGTAACTTTTGAACTGATATTCATACAATCGTTGTTGTCCCAAACGCATCCTCAATGAAACCTATGGCTATGAATCAATAAGAAACTTAATGTGGAATAAATATATTTTTGATTTCTGAAATGGTGATAACTGGGTTTATCTACATGGAAGAGGTGGAGGAGGAGCTAATTTTGTAGCAAAGAAATTTGAACATCAAAAGAACTTATCGGAGTAATATTGATTACAAATTCATTTACTAGGGTGTGCTTAGGAGAGTTGTGGTTGTATGAAATCTCGTTTCAAAAATTGCTATACGAAATTTGCCGGTTAAAAACTATTGTTGCAGAAGCAATTCTGTTGTTTGAATATTTTTGTTTTAAAAGTGTTGTGCTATAGTTGTTTATGGATAAATGACTGAAATAATAATTTTTTCATATTTTAGAGAATCAATAGATTTTATAGGTTTTTGAAATTCTTATATTTAATTGTCTGACAAAAGTAGGCTCAAAATTAATTTTTTATGATTCTAGATCATTCAAATCATAATACATTAAATAAAATGATCAAATGCTTTTTGATAATTTGTAAGTTTCAGTTACATTACATAATATTTGTTCATAAAATCAAACATATACACAAAGTGACCCGACATTTTATTTAACTGTGCAGTCCCATAGAATGAGCCTAACAATGTTGAGAACCACACATCCTTGCCAATTTTGAGGACTCTATGTTTTCTATAATATTAGAACTCTCTTCATGGAATGGCGATTTAGAATCTGTACTCACCCATCCTGCTTCCCTTGTTTTGTTTTTCAGTTTTATTTGGTAAATCTTATTAATTAGTTTATTACTAGCTTCTTGCTATGTCTATTGAACTGCATATATATATATATATATATATATTTATAAATTCTGCTAAAAGATATTGCTCTCATGCTATGTTATTATTCTTTCGTATTTCTCACTATTGTTTTGCATTTCTGTTTTTTTCTTTTTCTCTAGAAAATGGCTGGGCTTGCACCTGAAGGCTCTCAATTTGATGGTCAACAATACGACGCAAAACTGAATGAGCTGTATTAATTATTCGAACTCAAAAAATCTCTTCTTAGTCCTCTGTTGTACGGTATCTAATTAATGCTTTTTGTGGGTGATTGTAGGCTTACGGGTGATGGACAGGATTTCTTTACAACTTACGATGAGGTTTATGAAAGCTTTGATTCCATGGGCCTTCAGGAAAATCTTCTTAGAGGCATTTATGGTTATGGTGCGTTATTGCTCAGACTCACCCTTTCAGTGCATTCTATATACGATATAATTTGAGGGATAGAAAAATTTTTGTTTTGGTAATTATGTCAATTTAAATTTTTTCTATGGTAGGGTTCGAGAAACCTTCTGCTATTCAGCAAAGGGGAATTGTTCCTTTCTGCAAGGGCCTGGATGTTATTCAACAGGCACAATCTGGGACGGGAAAGACGGCGACTTTTTGTTCTGGAATCCTGCAGCAACTCGATTATGGTTTGGTTGAATGTCAGGCTTTGGTTCTTGCTCCTACTAGGGAATTGGCTCAACAGATCGAAAAAGTTATGCGAGCTCTCGGTGATTACCTTGGTGTGAAGGTTCATGCCTGTGTTGGAGGGACGAGCGTTAGGGAGGATCAGCGAATACTTTCTAGTGGTGTTCATGTTGTTGTTGGCACACCTGGTCGTGTGTTTGATATGTTAAGGAGGCAGTCTCTTATTCCCGACTACATCAAAATGTTTGTTTTGGATGAGGCGGATGAAATGTTGTCTCGTGGGTTCAAGGATCAGGTTTTTTTTTATGACTTTCTTGCTTACTTTTAGATTATATGCATGTTTTTTATAATTTGGTTGGCTCAACTATTCCGTATATTTTTGTTTTTGTCTCCCACGAAATGAAAATAAATTAAGCTTTATTGCTTTTTAATTGCACTTCTCATTTTTGAAGGTTTTGATTGGAAGATGTACACGCATACTAGTCAATTCTTATGTATTCACTTTCCTAACACCTTAACTTCAATTTTTACAAGTCATGCCGCCTTAGCTAGGCAGGTGTATTTCACTTTTTGAAAGGTTAAAATGGTGGTATTTTTTTTATTTGATTTCAAAGATTTGGGTGGTATAAATCTAAAAAAATAAAGTATAGGTGTTAGATATGTAAATATGTATGTAAATGCCCCCCCTTTTTTTTTGGCAAATGGCAACTGTGTTGAGAGTGAACTTTCTTACCGTAGGACTGGATATCACAATGAGCATTTTTTTTTTTTTATATGCTTTCTTCTATGTTTTCTCCACATGCAATTATTTCAATGTCCGGAAATTTTATCCAGTCATTTTGTGTCATTTGTCTTCAAATTTCATTGAAAATTTTTTAATCCTATCCTTGAAATATACCTTTTAACACTCCAAATCTCAATGGATGTTTCATTTGAATCTAATACTTTTCTTTTATGCTTTTTTTTTGAGCGAAGTTATCCCATTTCACTTTTTTGTATCATGCTATAGCATGCTCCTTATATAGTTCATTTTGCTTTCCTAATATATATATATATATATATATATATATATATATATTTTTTTTTTTTATAATGATTTCTCAAACTTGAACTTTCACCTTTCCTTGATCTCCTCATCATTAAGTAGGATTTTCTTATTTTCACTTCTAATTATCTAACTTAATTAAAATATATAGTCTCTAATCTCTTGTCTTGGCTATTTTGTCTCCCGTTTTCTACATTGTACCATACATGTTATATATAACTTTAAAAATTGTAGCCTTTCTTTGCCCATTCCCCCTTTTTAGTAGGTCTTTTAACTTTCTAACAGTCATTATAAGCCTCAATGTTTTTTTTTTAAATACTAGAACCAATATATTTCTATTCTTTTACATGCATAACTTGTAATAGTTCATCAATCAATCACTTCCCAAAATTATTTTATAAATTATCTTCTAATCTTAACTTGAAGATTATAACCATCCAATTCCTTTATCTTTCAATCCAAAAGTTTGAAGCTTCATATGGCAAATTTAATCTGTCTTAGACATTGTTAACTAAATGTGCTAGTCAAACTTTTCCTATCTATATGAATTGATTAATCACTATATTGATGCTTTTTCCCATTTCAGATATATGATATCTTTCAGCTTCTTCCATCAAAGATTCAGGTTGGAATTTTTTCTGCTACAATGCCTCCAGAGGCCCTCGAAATCACCAGCAAATTCATGAACAAACCTGTGAGGATCCTCGTGAAGAGAGATGAGCTCACCCTCGAGGGCATCAAGCAATTCTACGTAAATGTCGAGAAGGAAGAATGGAAGCTGGATACTCTCTGCGACCTATACGAGACCTTGGCCATTACTCAGAGCGTCATCTTCGTCAACACTCGTCGGAAGGTGGATTGGTTGACCGACAAGATGAGGGCTAAAGATCACACAGTTTCCGCCACTCACGGGGACATGGATCAGAACACTCGAGACATCATCATGCGTGAATTCCGCTCCGGGTCTTCTCGTGTTCTTATTACCACCGATCTTCTTGCTCGTGGTATCGACGTGCAGCAGGTTTCGCTCGTCGTAAACTACGATCTGCCGTCGCAGCCGGAGAACTATCTCCACCGCATCGGACGAAGCGGGCGGTTTGGGCGGAAGGGTGTGGCGATTAACTTCGTCACTAGCGATGATACGCGGATGCTTTTCGATATCCAGAAGTTCTACAATGTGTTGATCGAAGAGTTGCCTTCAAATGTCGCAGACCTACTCTAAAGTTCTCGCTTTTTATTTTTGCATGACTGGATCTCATTAGAATGGGTGGCTGTATTTAAGGTGTATTTATTTGCAAATGGTTATCTCAAAAATGGACTAGTGAGGGTATATTTGTAGATTTTTTTGTTGCAGTTTAGTGGTGGTGGTGATGTTTTGTGTTGGCAAATTTATAGTTGCGTGTGGATATGATGGATCGTTTTCTTATAAACACTGCTTGTTTTATGCTCACTTTTAGCATTTTAGGCTTGGTTTTGAAATTACTCTTTATCATTTTAACTTTTTTTTTTTTAAATGAAAGTTTCATTGACTTTATACTTTTTTACCTCATTTTAGCAGCTATAAATTATTCTTTGTGTGATTGCTTGTGATGATTGATTGAATTACTTGTGATCACCCTGATTTGACTTGTATGAGTTGTATTGTTTTTATCATTCAGTTTTTTAGACGGATGCAATGAGTATAGGTACGAGAGAGTTGTGGTTAAGTATTCAAATTTAGTATATAGTAGTAACAAATTTCAAAATTGAAAAATTTATGAAGCTATCACTCCTAGCTTAAAAATACATGATTGGGGAAATTATGAAAAAATTGATCAATATCCTATGCTTCTGTAAGTTTAAGATTACTGCTAACTTAAAAGCCAACCCAACTATCAAAGAAGTCTTTCATTGCATTATAGTACATACGTCCATCTATATTTATGGCGTCGTTTGACACCCATCACAATGTTTTTAAAAAGACATTGTGGGAGGTATAATGACTTATGAGATTTAATATTAAAACTTTTTGTCTTTTTTTTTTATGTTGGGGGGTCAACTTCTTTGACTCAAACTAAAAACCCCTTCCTCTAAAAATCATTTCTTTCTCCAAATATTCAAGGAAGAGAATAAAAACATGAGCTTTGACAATACATATTTATCATCTTCTTCCACATCTTCCTCTTAAAATATGCTTTGGATTGACACCAATGCCCATTCAATACGATACCCTATGCCCTAAAAAGATTCAACAAAATTGATACACATAAACTAAATATAATAAATTATTTTAATAATATGAATCTCTAAATCCAATCATTAATCTAATCTTCATTTGGTGCTAATTCACTTTTTGAGGAGGGTCTGTTTGGGGCAGCTTATTGGGGTACGGTGGCGGTATGAAAACGCCGTAGAGGTGTTTGAAAAATACGTTCGGCGCAGATTATTGATGCCGCTCGGACGCACTTACAAGATTTCCTTAATAGAAGGCGAAACAGGGAAGGAGCCGCGTCCTGCATCTGCTTCCCACGTTAGCGTGAAAATTTCCTCTGGTGCCCTCTCGCCCTCGATGTTTCCTCTGTCTTTTGGGCACGAGGTGGCCCTCTAACCAAGCGAAGAGAAAGTTTCGGTTTCCTGAATGGCACAAACAGGCTTACCTTCCTCGATGCTCGATGGTTTAAGGTTTCTGGTAGGAGCGAATTAGAAGAATGAGAGAGACGGTAGTTTCGGTAGTCACTGTAAACCGTGATCCAGTCGTTGCCTTCCCAGCTCGCTCTAATGGCGCTTGTATGCGAATGTTTGTTCACGAAGGCGATTGTTTTGGGGGTTTAGGGTGAAGATGAGAAGTTTGGAGAAAATAACTTTATATATCATAATTTTAAGAATATATAATTAATTATATCAAAATTTTAATTTTAATTAATTGTTATATCATCAATTTAATTATAATAGATAAACTTGTATGTAATTATAAACTTGTATGTAATTACTTAAATGATTACATACAGTTTTATTACAAACAGTTTCATCAAACAGAGATATAATGATCATTTATCTAACAACATCTATTAATAAGATATTCTAAATAAGCTCCCCCCCCAAACAACAAGTCAGCTTATTTTGATAAGCTGTAAATTATTAGATTATCAGAATAATTTGTTTATTAGCAAACTATAAATAATCAACAGCTGCGCCAAATAGACACTTAAATTATGCAGAATTTAAGGGTGCGTTTGGGAAGGACGTTTTGAGAATGGCCACCGACTGTTTGGAAAACGCGTTCTGAAAACGTAATTCGCAGGTGCTTTTGGGGCAGCTTTTGCTTATCCAAATAAACAGTTTATCATAAATATACGAACCGCGGGATTCAACCCGCTTTCCGCGTTTAGTATAAAAAACCAACTGTGTTTTCAGATAAACTGTTCAAACACAATTTTCAAATGGTGAGGCCAAATTTTCAAAACTCGGCGGCAATGGATATGCTGCCCCAAACGGACATAAAAGTGCCCCAAACGGCCAAATTTTCAAATGGGTCCGTTTGGGGCAGCTTGTGCGTTTTAGGATAAGCTGCTTATCCTGAAATGTGGCCCGCGGGGCCAGGGTCGACCCGCGGCCTGCGTTTAGTGTAAAAACCTAAATGCAGTTTTGGATAAACTGGCGAAACGCGAGAACCAAAAGGTATGGCGGCGCGCACTTATAAGCTGCCCCCTAACTCCCGTTCGCCTTCTCCTCCTCCCGTCGAATCGCTCAACCCACTCGCCGTTGGGTTCTTCATGTTTGAAGGAGCGGTGCTGCAGTTCCTCGGATTGCATTCGTTGCGTTCAAGAATCGAAAGCAGCCGAGATAGCAGTTCTTTTGTCGGTACTTGCTGGCCCTCTGCTTTTTCTTCTTGACAGGCTGTGTTGTGCGAGGCGGGGTTGTTAATTTGCTCTCCATTTTGTTCATTATTGTTTACATCAATTTTCCTTTTGTATTGTTCTTGTTTTTGTAAGATCTATCAACTATCTATTTTTTCCTTGTTCTGTTACTGAGTCTTTTTTTGGGGAAATGGTTTGTTGAGTCTGTGAAATTTTTTGTATGAAAACTATTAGGAAAATCGCTACATGATCCTTCTGACTATTGATTTCTAAAGCAAGGAAACTATTAGCCCTAATTGTCTATTTATTTTTATTCGAGTCTCACGTTGTCATAATTTATTAGTGCTGTTCTGTTATGGCTTTGAAAACCTTAGGGGCCCTTGGCTGTTTGTGCGATGACATCTTCATTTGGAGCATTGGAGTTTGCCCAAGTGAACGTGAGTATTTTCGTCATTGTTAATTAGTCAGGTTCCCTAAAATTTGGGCATTAGATTGTGAAAAAAATAAGATCATGTTTGTTTGAGTTTATCAAAATCAATTTGTCAGGAAAAGTTGTTGATCAGCAGATTATTAGGATAAACTGTTTATCTAGATAAACTGGACAAGCTGCAGCTGCCCTAAATAGACCCTAAATCCTGTAAATTAAAAAATATATCTTGGCTACTTATTCCAAAATATAAAATTTTGTAAGTTCACGTTAAGAAAAAAAAAATATTTGTGACCGCTTACTATACTAATTTAAATTTTGTTAATATCAATTAAATTAATTTAAGCATGCTAGTATAAGATAATATATCAATTAATTCATAATTTATAATTTACATAATCAATTTAAAAACAATTTCTATGTAAATATTTAATAAAGTTGTTTTAATTTAAATAAATTAGTATTTTGTAATTTTTTAAAATTGATCAACAATATTGATTCAATTGTTTAACCAGTTCTAATTACTTAATTTAAATTCGATTTAACATAATATAATATTTTATTTATCATTGATAACTATTTAGCCCTAAGAATTATTACTATAAATTAAACTAAATTATAAATATCATTAATTTAATTAATCCTTTTTTCCAATAATTTTCAGTTAATTTAAGTTATAGGATTTAGTTAATCCTATAAATCTGAAATTAGTAAATTCTGAGAGGGTTATATCCTAAAATTGTTTAGCAACGTATTCAGTAAATTCTGCTAAATCTTGAGAAACTATTTGCAATTTCTATCAAAATTTAAAAATCTATTATGACTGTTAGGCTTTAACAACAAACCAAAGTACAATTTAATAAATAATGTAAATTTTATTTCTTAAAACATCACATAATAATCAAAATCTGTTAACTTCTTAAATTCAATTAATATTTTATTTTAAATTATGATAATTAACAATTATATATTTAGTTAAATAATTAATTATTGATACAAATTTTATTAAATTAATTATTAAATATAGGTTTAACATTTACGAATCAATAATCAATTAGTTATTAATTATATTAATTAATAATTACTTATAAATTTTTTGAATGAATAAAAAATTGATATTTATCTTTTATTAATTACTAATAAAATGATATTATAATTTTATTTAATTATAATTAATTTGATACTACTTTATTTTGTTTTTAATTATTAATCAATTAAATTAATAAAACCCTCACCTACATCACTTCTCCTTCTCCGAAATACTTGAATGTCCCTCCCTCCTCTCTGTTTCGTCCAAAAACCATCGCTTTCGTGACCGAACCCTCGTGATACAGTCACAATTGGAGCTAGCTGAGAATGCAATGACGGGATCACGACTTATCGAGACCTTAAACTCCACTTCCATTTTTCTCCTCCTTCCACTCCTCTCCTTCCTACCAGAAACCATTGAAAAAAGGTAACTTCATATCTTTTCTCATGTGAGCTATTCATTTCGGATTTACTAAATCCACAAATCCACGGGATTTAGTAAATCTGGGATTTAAGGCCGAAATACGTGAAATTTGGATTTATCAAATTCAATGTTTTATTTTACCCAAAATGATCGTATGACAATATTTAGGTTAAATTTTCCTTAAATTCTACTCTAAGGTGGTGTTTGACAATATATTTAATACGGAATTTAAACATGAATTTAACTTAAATCCAACAAACAACCTAAATAGATTAAATAAATTCGATGTTAAGTTAAATCTCATTTTTTACTTCTTCCATTTATTTATTCTGGATTTATTAAATCCATTTATTAATTAGATTTAAGAGATTTAGCTTGAGAAAAAAAAGAGTTATATCTAATGCTTCAAAAAAATTTAATTGGATTTAATTTTAAATGAACTAAAATTATTTTAAATATAATAAATCCCTTTTAAAATCCTACTTTTATACAAACACCTTGCACCGTAAAAAAAGCTCTTTGTTCGGGAACAACTCATGTTCGACTCTTTCGTTAAGTAAACTAGCCGAACACGAACAAATTTTTAAAGCTCGAATTATAACGAGCCGAAAACAAACAACTCTTTGTTCGTTTGTGTTCGGCTCATTTTAGCTCGAAATAAAAATAAATTTATATAATTATTTATATAATAATATATTACATATATTATTTATATAAATATATAATTTATATATTTATACCTAAATTAAATTGTAACACCTTTTGCAGTAACGTGGTTAGTGTCTTCTTTTGCATACATTTTGTCCATGTTAGAATCCAACATTTTACATCTATTTTTTTCAATTTAATTTTAACGATCCAATTTCGAGCCAAACACGAGCTGAACACGAACACAAATACTTAAATCAAGTCAAATACGAACACATTGTTCACGATTTAATTTCGAACACGAACAATTTCTAACAAGCCGAACAGAAGCCAAACCCGAGCTTGCTCCAGCTTCGTTCGTATAGAGCCTTACAAATAGGGGCGTAAACGAGCTCTTGTGTTCGACTCGTTTATATTTCTAGCTCAAAAAGTGCGTTCGTGTTCGACTCGTTTGCTTAGCGAGCTGAACACGAATTGTTCACAAACAAAGAGTTGTTTTGACAACCCTAATCAGGTAACCTAAGCATTGGGGCATGATTTAAAAATTATTGTTTATATTAACATTATTTGAATCTAATATAATAATTTTTATTATATTTTCTTAATTAATACTTATAATTGATTATATATCTTTATAGCCTTGTAGTCAATTAGGTTTTTTAAGAATACTAGTCATCAAAGATATATATAATTGATTAGTAGTATTTCGAGCCAAAATGAGCCGAACACGAGCGAACAAATCTTTGTTTGTGTTATTCGTCGAGCCGAACACGAGCTTCTTAGCGAGTCAAACACGAGCTTCTTAGCGAGTCAAACACAAAGCGAACAACAAGGATGCATTTTGACAGCCCTACCTACAAACACCCCCTAATCCGTTAACGGGAAAGGCCCTAAAATCAGCTTTTCTTCTCCTACTTCCGCCTTCTGCTAACCCAAACCCTTGACGAAAAGCGTTTACTTTTTTCCTCTACACGCGATCGCGGGTTATACCCGCGATTCCGCGTTCGCACGCAGCTTCCCTCGCTCGTTTTACGCCTCTACCTCTCTCGCTCACGAAACCTAGCCGAGTCCGCCGAAAGCCACGAACCTTCGCTCTCCTTCGCCGAAAGCCATTCGAAGCCGTTTGTTGCTCTCCGTCGCTGAAATCCAGGCTCCCCCCTCCTACACATCCTCCGTCGCTCTCCTCCGGGCGCCCTCCGTCCGCCTCTGCCGAAAGCCAGGTATATTCTTCCCTAGCCTAGCCGTTGCTGTCTTGTTTTTGGTTGTGATTCACATTAGATGTGACCGGAGCTATGATTTTATTGCTTTACTATTGACATTTGTTTGTTGGTCGCCCTAGGATAGCAAGTCTTAGCTTTACTGTTCGAAGCCGTTCGTTGCACTTTACTAGCATGCCTCTTCTCCATCTATTTAGCTTTAGAAGGTGTCTGCTCCTCCTCCATCTGGTTTTGATTAGCCTTTAACTGTCATGTACTGTCAGTGGGGTAAGCGCATTCATTATCAAGTAGGATGTAACTCCAATATTTTAGTTTTTTTTAGGATGTATATCTTCTCCCTAGTATAATTATTTGCCTTAGGATTAGTCTTTCTCTCTATGATTAGTCTTCTCTCTTGATTTATGATAGTCATCTTTTCTTTTTTGATCAGTCTTCTGCTTTGTTTCACAGCAATCACATCACGGGCCCTAATAAACCTTGGGATTCTTCATACCTATCTACATTTAGGATTGCCTTTCTAACTATGTTCAATAATCATAAACTTGAGCTCACATCTTCATCTCGAGGATTTTCATACTATATAGAAGAGATCAATTATCTTAAAAAAATACAAGTAGAATATAAAAAGATTCCTTAATTAGAAGTTTTCTTCTATATCACTCAATATATAATTAACATTAAGTGCAATATTCTTTAAAAAATTGTAAAGCCCCAGAAAAATTATAACCTTGTTTCAGTTTCACATATAATATGTGAAAAATGTTGTGATTACTTTTGAAAAAAGTGCATGCAACTAAATGAGCCCTTAATATTATTTAATTAATTTTTGGTTTAGCACACGTAATTCCTCTAGAGATTAAAGAAATATATAGAAGATAAACATTTATCTCAGCTACGAATGAAAATGCCTCATGACCTGATTGCGTAATTATAAATATTGAATAAAACTTGCGTTGAAGGATTAAAAAAAGAGGATGTATAGATTTAAGTTATCATGGTTGAAATTTGTTTAAATTGCTTTGCGAAGATTATTCTAACATCTAAGGCAATATTTTTTAGGGATGAATGAAAAATAAGAGTTCATAAAACTAGCTCCCAACTAGTTAGGATATGGTTAATGATGATGATGCTTTTCAATTTTTATGCCTCAAGCTAAATCTATTACCTATTTATGTTGTTCGCGGAGTAGTAATCCTAACTCTTTTCGGGCTAATTTATAGAAAATAATAACCCATAAGTGCTTGATTAGATGCTTATTCAATTATATTTGGTGTGTGTGTCTATATATATATATATATATATATATATTTGAAATGCAAATATCCATGGTTTGTGATCATAAATCCTACATTAAATGGTTTCATCTAACTTTATTTTTGCCTAATTTTTCTATTTTTTAATTAGTAAATGGCTGTATCATTCAATTTTTATTTTTAATGCAGGTTTCTGGTTTTGTTGAGATGAACTGGAAATTTCCAATCAACTTTGGGTGAGTTTTTCTTTCGTCTGAAACTTCAAATTTTTTCTCTGGACATGTTGAGAATTTTAATGCTTTGTGCTATAATAAATTTTGATTTGGTTGATGGTTTTGAAGCTTAATGACGTGCTTCCAGTGAAAAACGAATGATGGGAAATCTTGGTTCTTTTTCTATAGATATACATTTGCAAATTTGTTTGAACATTTTTTATACCGGAGTTGACCAAAACCACATTATGAAAATGAATTTTATTACTCAATGGCAAATATGGTTACAATCGTAGACACTTGGAACTAGGAAATAATAAAGACACAACAAGACTCAACTAAGACTTAGGTTGAAGGAGGTGGTGCTGTGGTTTAAGGACGAAAAGCTCACATGGAAGTAGGGGAATAGCTAGAAGGCATCAAGGGATAGGTGTGGTTGACTGTTGGATGGCGGGATGGTGGGCGGCTACAAGATATTGTGAGGTGGCTTCAACAGGGAAGTGTTGGAAGGGTCAGATAGGCTCACGACAACAAGGAGAGGAGTTGTGAGGCTGCGACAGTATGCCAGATGACTGGGCAACAATATGACAGTAAGGGAAGGGTTTGTGGGGTTGCAGTGGTGATGTTGGATGGCGGACAGGGGTATAGCAGCAAAAGCAGTGGCGGGTTTCAGCAGTGAAGGTGGAGAACTGGGACAGTGAAAATTGCAAAGTAGGTGGTTGGTACATTGAGGGGCAGTGAAGGGGAAAGAGCGTGGACTGCGAGACAGGAAAGTGGTTTGTCTGGGGACTGCGACAGTGAGGGAGATGGTTGGAAAGGTTTCAAAGGAGGTCGGTGAGGATAAATCTCCTCGTAAGATCAAACTACATCTGGAGCACTATTCTATCCTTGGGGGACGGTTACCACCTGGAACGATTTATAGCCGGAGCTCTTTCTTGTCTTCAGATACAACCCTAGAAGGGGAACATCAACAACCGATGACTGTCCTAAATAGAAGCGTATGCAAAAATTGCCTAAACACTCAGAAATAACAAATATATAATCCCACAGTAAAGATGAGTGGGCTCTGCTCCAAATATGAAAGAAGTACTTGCTTTGAAGGATTGTTAGTCCCCCATTGGCCTAGACCGAATTGGTCTAGGGAAATATTATGGCATTTTCTGCATCTGGGACAAAGACGCTCCTCTTCAATAATATCGCTCTTTTGGGCCAAAGATGCCCAGCGTCAGTCTCCCGGGGTTGTGGGAGCTGCGACCTCATTCATCAATGCTTCTGTCGTATCATGATATGGAGTCATATTTGTTGCATTGAAGGTAGCATAAATGTTATAGCCTCCTGGTAAGTCAATTGTTTAGGTTGTCATTCCAAACCACATCCTGATAAAGTAAGTATTTGTTATCTTTTAGCACAAACTTAGCTGACACTATAGATAAATGAGTATTCTCAGGAATCAGGTCTCGATCCACCACATATGTAAACTGCTCCTCCCACTTCTAGTGCTCCGCTGGACGTATTTGATAAACAAGTATGTGAGAAGAAATCAACTTTAGGACGAAATTTATGGCAGGTCACGCCACTGGCATTAACAACAACTCAGGAAATACTTCTCTGATTGGACATGAATCTCATTGAAGAATTTTCTTACCCACCAAGCTCTTAAGATAATTTACAAAGCTCCGGTTCATCTCTTATATCTGGTCATTTATTAGTGGGTAAACTACTGAACTAAATCTATTCAAATGACTTCATATAATTTTTCAGAAGTGACAAAAGAGCATCATCACTTGCGTGTTGGACCTCCCTCAGTTGGGGCAATTCGGGAAGGATCTTATATATTTGAAAAGTTTGAATTTCTTTTATCTGGAGTTGCCATGCCTATGATATCGGTTTCTCAAATTCATGGCCTTTTTGGACATTCAATGTTGATTCTGCTGATGCTTCTCTCAACATCTGCAAAACGGTTGCTCGTGGTACCACAATCTCATACTAGTATGAACGCTCATTACCTCAAATTTACAATCTTTTAGAACTATTGTCAAGTCAACTGGAGTCTTTCTCCTGAGTTCTATGGAATCAATGATGTTTCTTCTTGGTTGACTGGAAGTTGAGAATCCTTTCTATAGATTTCATTTTCTCTCAAGTCATTGTTTATTTCTTAAACTACCCACTGATCCGTGAAAGAGATCATTCGATTGGTTGTGCAATATAATTTAATATGCGCAAATCCATGACACTTGAAATATTTTTTGGTTGGGATGGATTTAGGAATACTAGCTTGCTTCACCTATTATACACTCTTAAGCAGTTTCTTCTCAGGTGGGGTCAACTTGGATATTCAACTAGGTGTACTCTGATTGTAAGATCCCGGTTTGAATTTTGCCCGTAAGATATGAAAGTCTCCCGATGATGTAGACTTTTGAAGTTGGGGTCTGAAAATTTGATCTGTAGTGACTTGGTAGGAACTGGCGCTGCATCTCTCGTTTTATCTTCGATAATGTAGTAATTCAACATTCTCTTCTCTTTGTTGAAAAATCTTCAAGTTCACTCACCATTGAGATGATTGTTTTTGTGTTTACTGGCGTCTAGTTTCAACATTCCATTTGGTGGGACATTTTAACGCTCAAATATACATTCCAAGGTCCGAAGCCACTCGATGAACTCATCCAGATCAATGTGGTGGTCGAAATATGACAAATCCACCTTCACTTCAAAATTTTAGCTTCTTAGATAATTTAGGTCAAATCTTTGGAGAGGTTCTATATCACTGACATCCGTATGGTGGAAGAGATTGTCTCTATTCCTTTGATCTTGCAAGTCAAAATTGTGGCTACAGGTGACCCATCTGGAGACTCATCTAGATGGTTTCTTTTTCTCAATTTCAGCGAGTCGTTGTCGCACTTGGCTGAGCTGTTGTTGTACTCTTCCATGGGAAACTCCTGATTGGAGTTCAACTATTGCTCCTCAGTGACATGATTAGAGTTTGGGTTATGTATGTGGAAGAGGGTGTATAAAAATGAAAATGTTGTAGGATGGGAAAGAAATTTTGGGTGGTCGGATTGAAAAATTAGCAGAGGGGAGGATTTTTGTGTGGAGGTGGAGTTGGGTTTGGATGGATGCTAGAAACCCTAGGATATGACTAAGGTTAGAATAGCTATGATACAAAATGATACCACATTTAACCCAAACCACAATAGGAAAACAAAGTTTATTACTCAAAAACCAATAGGGTTATAATCATTATACAATTTGAAATGGGAACTAACAAAAATAATACGACTTAACTTGTGCTTAGGTCGAGGGAGGTGGTGCTGCAGTTTATGGAGGAAAAGCTCATATGGAAGTGGGGGAATGGTCGAAAGGCATCAAGGGATGACTGTGGCTGACTACAGGATAGATAGGGTATGGTGAGATGACTGCAATAGGGAAGTGGTGGCAGGGCGTCAGATGGATCAGATAGGCTCATGATAGCAAGGAGAGGAGTTGCCGGGCTATGATACGTAATTGAATGGCTGGACAATGATATAACGGTAAGGGAAGGGCTCGTGGGGTTGCGGTAGTGATGCTGGATAGCATAATAGGGGTAGAAGAACAAAAAAAGGAGTGGCGGACTGCAACAACGAAGGTGGAGTTTTGGGACAACGAAAGCAACGACTCAGGTAGCTGGGACATTGGGTGGCAGTGAAGGGGAGGGTTATCAGGGATGTGACAACGAGAGGGATGGTTGGAAGGTTACAAAGGAGTCGGGTAAGGATAAAGATCCCCGCATGATTGAACTACAGCTGGAGCATCACATATCCTTGAGGGATAGTCGCTGCCCTAAAAAAGTTACAACCGGATTACCCTATCGTCTTCAGATATAACCCTAGAAGGGGAACACTAGCAGCCGATGAATGTCCTGTATAGAAGCATACACCAAAACTGACCTAAGCATACATAAAATAACAAATATATAGGCTGTGTAAAGTGGAGTGGGCCCCGCTCCAAATAGAAGGAAAACCCATGCTTGGAAGGACCGATCAGTCCCGCCTTTGCCTCGACTGATCCAACATCTACTGCGTTTGGGGCAAAGATGCCTTGTGTCAGTAATATTGCGGCAACTGCCGCATATGGGGCAAAGACACCCCATGTCATTTTCAGCCACTTTTATGCTGATATGTTGGTTCTTGCACGACACATTTTGGAGATTAATTGGCCAACTTATTATTTGTATAGTATAATTACAATGCCATAATTTGAGTTGGGCTATAATGGCTTTTAATTTGAATTCTTTCACGAGAAACTCACATAAATTTGATTCTAATTATGTTTTTTGGTCAATTCTTACTGTTGTTTTATCTAGTATTTAATATTTTGAGTCTTTTTAGAAGTAGCAGTTGATCTGCAAGTTTAGCCATGGGATTATTATAACTGTTTAATTTTAGTTACATTATTCTTTATACATGGGAATTCTAAAGCGTGAAACATTCTAAGAATTTGTTGAAATTTACTCAACACGAAGAAGTGGGTTGAAGTCTCACAGGTTCTTCTAGTTTTCTTTAGGGGTTGGGTTTGAACAATCCGATTTTGAGCCAATTTGCCTCCTGCTAGAAAATAGCTTTCATACATGCTGGCTAGTTTGAAATCAATTTTCGTTTTGTACCAGTTTGATTTGAACACCACTCTGCTAAAGTTTGAGTCTAGCCAACTCAAACTGAATTATTTTTCGTTCTTTCTAGTTTATTTATGTTCATATACACATGTTTATGTTACATGCAATCATAGCTGGCTTATATCGACCTAGGGCCCGTTCAAAGATTGAACTGAGCTAAAAATTTTGCTCATGACTTTTCTTGTTTAGCTCTATTCGAGATCAGTTCGAGTAAAAGAATTTACTTCAATCTTCTAACAAAACATCACCCCTAATTATATTATCATGTTTGTTTTTGTAAATAGTCTTCAAGTCACTGTTAAACCAAATTTAGTAAATTGTGTTGGAAACCTCCACCGAATTCAGATTATTGCTCTTTTATGCATCATTTTCTTACCCGATCAACTTCAAATGCCCAATACAAGTGTTATGTTTTACCGGCTAACTTGTCTGGATGAACCTAACTACTCGGTTACAATTTTATTTTGTTTTTCCTAGTTAGGGGAGAGCTGTTTTTGGGTCAGTTGTGAAGGAGGCTTTAAATCTTGGCACCATATAATGATAGCTGGTTTATAGCTTGGATAATGTATTTTTTCAGTGCTAATTTTGCTGATCTTTAGTATTAACCAGAAATAATAACAGGATTAATGTTGATAAATAGAAAGGACAGTTTCAGTAATTCATCATACTACTTCATAGTTTTGTAATTTTCTTCCCGACCATGTAGTTTGAGAAAATCCTTACTTGTCGAACATTTTATGTTAATTCACTGTTGTAATTCCAAGATTGTGCTATGATTATATTATTTGCTTGACAGTAGGTGATTTAGACTCTAGTATGCCTGAGACATTTATCTTTTTCAACATATTTCTTCTCACAGTCGTACTCAAGAGCAACAAGGACAGTCAAATTTTCCAGAAATACCAACCCATTCTTGGTATCCTCCATCTGTGGGTGGTACATCACATCCTTCCACACCTGGTAGCTCATCGATTACAGGACAGCAAAGGCCGTTAGATCGACCGCTGTCCCCATCACGTGGTCAGCCCTCCCCTGCTGAGGCAGCAGGCATAATTGCTCGGTTGAAGGATAAAAGGTAAGATTTTAGGAATGGAATTGAGTAAATTTTTTTAGTTCAGATAATTATAAGCTGCACTCGTAAATTATTTTCATTAGAAAATGTGCAGGGTTGTCTCACTGTAGCAAGCACCCTTCCTTTCTGTTTTCACATTCTTGATAACTAAATAATATGATCTACTGTCTAGTGATCCAACAGATAATTCTTGATAACTAAATAAAACCGTTATCACCAAATATATGATTTTTTTTATAATGCTGCTCTTTGGCTTGATAGTTTTTTTTTATCAGACTCCACTGTATTAGAAAAATAGAAGTAAGTTATTGCCCACTTATATACTCCACTTCGATGAAATATCAGTTAATGCATAGCCATGGATGCAATTTCGACACCACTTCCACACACACACACACACCCCCCCCCCCCCCACCCCCCCCACTCCTAAAGTTTGCCTTAAATATGGACAATACTAGGGTGATGATTAGAATTGTAACCTCAATCAGGTTTGAATTCTTTTTTCATTGAGCTGCTTCATCAATTTTTTTGATTGTAAAGATGGCATAAAATTGTGAGATCCATAAGATAAATTCCCACATCCAGTTGTGGCACAACTGAAAGCCTTGCATCAAAGCACTGATTGGTATCTGCTGCTGTTCCTCTGCTTGTTCATTTTATTTTTTATATTACTGGCTCTCAAACATTATTGCATTTGAGAAAAAATCGGTGCTGACAACTGCAAGTTAGTAAACAATGAAAACTTCCCTTAGTTTCCCTGAATAGACCTTCCTTCAATGTCTGGTTTAGTTGGTTTAGTCCACTTATCAATGTTTCAAGTGTAATTCTTAGTTAATATAATGATAAACATGATTAGCAAAATTTTTTATTTTAAGGCTATATAAATTGTTTTTGTTGTTAAATTTTTTAAGACTGAAAAAAAGATATCTTTTTATTTCATCGTTTCTCTTACATTTTATTTGTGATCAGGTTTCTAATTCTTGCATCTTGTGCTTGAAATGTTGGCAGCATTGACGAGCTAAGAAAACTTTTAAATGACAAGGAGACATACAATTCCTTTTTTAATTCCCTCGAGCAAGTCAAAATCCAAAATAATGTAAGTTGCTCTTTCAATCTCTTTACTTTGTACGTTGTGCTTTGAGTTAAGATAATTCAAGCATATGTTGAGTAGCGCATTCCTTGTCAATCTGGAATTTAAAGATAGCGCTTCTTTCCATCAGCTTTTTCATATGAATCCTAATTATCATTTCTGTCGTTCTGATTTTATTGTACTATTCTGTGTCATTTTAATAGTTTGTCCCTTAGAAAGTATCTTCTCGGCTTTATAAATGTCAGCCCTTTTTGCATTACTGAATTGATTAAAAATAGACAAGTCTCATCAGTGAAGCATTACCGCCAATTGCATGGTCAGAAAATTATTCTGGAGTTGTTGCTGTATTTTCTGTAGCCTGGAACGTTGCTTTCAACTCACCTAGATTCTGTTAAGGGTATTAGAATTCATTTGTGCGTATTGAAGCTAGCATTTTTGCTTTTATCAAGGGCTACATGCACAAACTCTTCACTTTGCAATTAGGAGCCTTGTGTTTTTGGACAAATTTTTTTGATTAGAAATTTTGCTCATATTGGGATTCTAAGGGTACTCAATTTAAAGCTATTAGGAAATTGCCATTTCTTAGCAGAGTCCCGGCTTTTGTGTGTATGGTGTGTGATGATCAAACGGATATGCAAAGCTATTGTTGTTAATGTCTAGAGCATACTTGCACATAAAAAAAATGTTGTAGTGTAGTGATAAAGCTGTACCTAGACTTAAACCGATTTCAATTTATTTTAATTCTTTAGTAATATTGGAAATGCAAATTTTAACCTTCGCTAGTGAAAACTGTATGGCTATAGGAATTGGATTACACGGTAACATTGATTTCAAGAGTTTGTTGTTGTATGACAAATGATGCTTAGTTATGCTCATCATTTTTTACTTTTTCAAGTGATTTGTAGTGATGACTATTCTTAGGACTACAGACGAACCAAGCCGAGTTGAGCAAGGGTTGTGTACAAGTTTGAAATTGTTTATAAAATTGGAGCTTGAGCTTCAATCGACCTTTTGGGGCTATGTTCAAGTTTGTGCTTGTTTATAAAATTCGAGCTTGATCCGAACTCAAACTAATGGAACTTTTGTGTGTTTATGTTGAAAATTTGTTCATTTATCGTTTTAATTATTTGATTTTGGTTCATGTTTATTTCATATGATGATAATCAAGTCATTATCGAGCTGATTAACGAGTAGTTTTATCAAGCTACTTAATTTTTATGCAAGTGATCTTTATCGAGTATATTAAAACTATTGTTTCCGTGATATTTATTTATTTTAATCAAATAAGTCTTATAGAACAAACTAATGAGTAGTATGATTGAGCTACATATTTTCAAATGAACTTTATTAAGTTTATAAATGAATTACTTGTTGAACTTACAAAAATAAATGAACTACTGAATTAATAAGAATAATTAAAATAAGTATATTAATGCACAAAATAAATGAACAACCAAACAAACATGCTTTTATTTTACTTTATGTATTATACAACAACAATAAAACAACAAACCTTAATCCCACTAAGTAGGGTCGACTACATGAAATTTTTTTTTCTATAATGTCCTATTGAGGGTCATATTTTCATTTAATTCTAATAGATTAATATCATTTTTATACAATATGCCCAAGTCTTTTTACGTCTACCTCGGCCTTTCTTAACATAAGTCAAATCTAAAACATTTACTCTCATAACCAGATCATTTGATGGTCGACGTTTAATGTGACCAAATCATCTAAGACGACTCTCTCTAATCTTGTTTGCCAGTAGAGCTACACTAAGCCGTTCACAGATAGATTCGTTTGTTAAGCCACTCATCCACCCAAGCATTCTCATCTCAACAACACTTAACTTTGTTTAATGCTTCTCTTTTGAAGGCCAACATTCAGCGCCATGAAGCATTGCAGGTTTCACCATCATCTTATAAAAATTTCCTGTAATTCTAAGCAGTACATTCTATACTTTATGTACTATAAAATTTTAATTTAGTAAGATATAATTGAGCTTCTCTTTTTTTTTTTAAGTGAAATTGAGCTTTAATTGAGTTTTTTCTCAAGCATTAAATTAAGCTCTAACTGATCTTATTCATAAGAATTAAATTGAACTTATTCATGAACTTAAAATGAAACTGTTCATTGAGCTTTTCTTAATGACCTTTTTTGTGAGATTTAAATGATATTATTCGCAAACATAAATGAATCAAACAAAAAGTTATTCAAGTTTATTCATTTAACAATCTAATATTTGTAAAAGTGCTCTAACTTTAATTAATTAATGAAATCTGGTATTTACAAAAGTATTCAAATTTGTTTAATTAATTAATGAAACAAACGTGAACTAGTTTTTGCCGAGTCGAGCTATCAATGATTTATCAAATGCTCGGTTCTTTTGCAGCCCCAAATTTATTCTGTCTCTTTCTATTTTTTCCTTTTTAAACATTAATGATGTCAATAGAAACTTATCTTGATCAATGCACTTTAGTTGACAAATGTTTTCATTTCAACCAACCTTACAAAATGATCCATTGTTAAGGTATGATGGAATTTCATGTATCTTATGGAAATTGAGGGGTGTCTGCCTCTTTCTATTTTTTCCTTTTAAACATTAATGATGTCAATAGAAACTTGTCTTGATCAATGCACTTTAGTTGACAAATGTGTTCATTTCAACCACCTTACAAAATGATCCATTGTTTAGGTATGATGGAATTTCATGTATCTTATGGAAATTGGGGGGTGTCTGCCTTTCTTACCAGAACCAATCATTGATAAGTTAACCCAATCCTATTTTACCTTGAGGCATGAATGAATTTGAAGAAAATGGTTTGCGATAAAATGGTAGTATCAAAAGTGAGGCCTTTGCATATGAACTTTGGGCCCTTTAGATATTACTTTGCTCGTAATTCTAAAGCCCCAGCTCTGAGACTTTTTCCTTAGATTTAGGATTTTTAAGCAACCTTTAGGGGACCATGCCTTAGCATATTCAAAATTGAGTTCTTAGCTTCTGACTATTGTATTCTTTCGACTGAATGTAGTTTACAATACACATAACATGCAATAAACTAGGGTATTTTATCGCTAAAAACAAAGTTCTGTGGACCTTCTTTTTGATTTGAGATTTCTATTTTCTATATTATAATTAATTTAGCAATTTATTTGTTTAATGGAAGTCAATGTGATGTCCTTGTCTCAAATTTGAAGTTTTTAGAGCACTTGTGAAGTAGCATTGTACAAATTCATTTTTACTTTTATCCTATTCCCATTTTTTCAAATTTTCATCTTCTTTATTCTCTTGGCTTTTTTTAGTAATAGTTATGTTACTATGGATTGCCGAAACATATGCAATTAGGATATAGTTAGATCGACCAGGATTACCAAAACGTAAGTGAAGTAGGCGGTTCTTTCTCTTGTGATTGTACTCTTCTGTGATCAAGGGAGAGCATCTTCACTTGCTCGCAAGATTTATTAGTTGATAGAGTTATCATTTTGAGTTAAAGTTTGAATGTTTAACCTCCCATCTAGAGTTTAATGCCACTCGATTAGAAGGGGGACATGGTGGTACCTTAGAATTGTGATTGCTTGCAAAAAATTGAAGTCATAAGCCCAGAGGTTGAGCTATGTTTTAACTTGCTCATGAAATCTCAGAAGGGTCATTGCTTGCAAGAATTCAAAGCTTATGAGCCAAAGGGACAAAATAAGTGAAACTTCCAACTCACAAGCCAATGGGTCAAATTGAAAAATTTTGGGCAATACATCAAAAGTATTCTCTTGAGCTCCATATGCTGATAAATCCAATGTTTATTTTAAAATGCAACAAACTCACGAGTTCAAAGGTGAAGTTGAAGAATTCAACTTTTGAGCTTCACCTCAAAATGTTTGTCACCTTTGAATGCCTCGAGCTCGCTAAGGTCAAGTTGCATGAGATTGCTTGTTCGCTCGTCCAAGGGAAAAACTAAAGGGTTGACTGAAACTTCAAGGTCAAGGGCTGAGTAAAGAAATCAAAATCAGAGAATCATGAAATAAAGTATATTCCTTCTCAAAACTCTCAGCTCATAAGCGCAAATGCCTAACCTAAACTAATTAGCCTAAGGGCCAGTGTAGCAACAGTTAAGTCAGATATTTTAAGATTTTGGTTGAAAAAGTTAATTGAGGGCATCAACCTAGAAGTGTTTTGCTGCTCAAAAACCAGTGAGCTCCCCAGCCTGGCTGAACTACTGCAAGCCTGAACGGCTAACTAAACGCCATCTCTTTAATAAGCCAAAGGACCGGGCAAAGCAACACCTTCAGCTCCTTAGCTAAACTTCTCTTTTATCTCGCACCACCCAAAGGGCTGTCTAAATGAAAATTTTATTTCCATAACCTTAATGGTTGTGGTAACTAACCTTTAGGTCATAATCTGAAGGACTGAATTAATGAAATTTATCTTTCTCCATGATGAGAGGAGTTAACTCTTGGGTTTGATCAATATGCTTATTAGTTGAAAGATCCAAAAATGAAAAGAGGATGCAATGAGCTGCACATGCTACAGTTGACACAGGTAACCCATTGTGCCAGTTTTTAACTTTAAGAAAGATATGAAGTATGCTGATCTTGTGCATGTTTGCAAGTGCACATCTACTGACCAGTTAACCATTGATATTTCTTTTCTGCATTTTAATTTCGTAGGTTGAGCCTCTTTAAAGCTAGTGCTCTGGACTACTTTAATAAGTTCCAAGTTCTAAGAAAAGAAGCAAGTAGGGATGTACTCGCTAATTACCCAATTATAGGATTGCTAAATTTTCTGCTATCATGAATAAGCATTTTTATCGAGAGGCTTTACCGTGAGAAGTGGGAAGATTCTTTTCACACAAACAAGTGGTAAGCCCAAGTGCTAATTAAACTTTTGGTATTATGCTTGCCCAGGAAAAATATGACAATCATTAATGAGAGTTTAGCAGTATCATTGTTTTTTTTGAACTATTTTTAAATTTTTAAATATAATTTTTTTTATGCAGATAAAATAATTGCCAGCTTTAGCTTGAGTTGCCAAAATCCTTAAGTTAACGACAGCTTGCCTTACCTCTTAGTTTCACTATTTGATTGAAAAAATCTTCTTTGTTCTCATTTTGATCATTCCTTATAACAATGTTCTTTCATGAGAACGTCCAATTTTAGCAATGCCTGTTATGCATTGATTGCCAATTACTTGCCAATTACTTGCCCACGTAGACATGAAATGATCTTTGGCTGCTAAAACCATCAATGAACTTTCTGGATTCCATTATTATTGCGGAAATTTGCAAGTCCCATTACGGGTTAATTGCTTAGAAGAGTTGCCAAAAGGCTCCTGATCATTACAAGCAACCATTATCTTTTTATGCTGGTTTCTATGCAAGGGAACCCATGCCATTTTAAAATATTAGCTTCCTAATCCTTTGATGAAATACCATTTTATAGTTCTGCACCAAAGTTTTGAGCTATTACTAATGTGGGTCAAGATGATAGCACACATGTTTTCATATTTGCAACTTTTATGGGTTAGGCTTAAGTTACATCGGTGCCTAGCCTAAGAGTAATTTTGTCTTTTGTATGCCTAAGTGCAATTTAGTCTTTTGTCACTTATTATCGTTGAGTATAAACATGACTAATATGTTTAGGGTAGGGTTTTGCATGAAATTATTATTGTGAGTTTTAGGTTTAGGGTTTGGGAGAGATTTCTTACCTCACGAATTGTAGGAATTGGGAGAGATCATCTGCCTCTCGAATTATAAGTGTTTATCCTTTATTTTATTTGTTTGTGGTTATATTGTTTCTTTAGGAGAAATAAAATATTTGGTTTGCCCTATTTTCTAAGGAAAATTCTAACAAATTGGTATTAGAGCTTAAAGATTTGGGAATCAGATCGACAAAAGGATATATTGACGGGAGTTGAAGCAACTGTGATTGCAGATTACGACTACAGAAGTGCTGCGGAGGGATTGCAACATCTAACACTCTGGTATTGAAGGGGATCAAACACATGACTCCTTGCTCGACGACAAAGACTCAAAACTTCCACCTTCCTTCTTTTGTCGCGCCTTAGCAGTATAGGCGCGATCAAGCTACTTGGATGGGATGTACAGGTGACGCTTTCTGTCACCTCACCTCATGAAATAGTCATGACTGGAGGCATCGTGGCATATGAAGACCCTGCGGTGGACAGAAGACTTTGTCACCTCACCCCTCGATACAGCGTGGATCGAGGCAACAACGAGATCAGAGCTATTAAGCGTACATGTACGAATTGGATCAAAGATGGGTTATGACCTTACATCTTAGCCATTTACGACATTTTAACATTCAATAGTTTCTCCTTCGTGATCGAAACTTGTTATGGGAGGAATGTCGATCAAGAAAGTATATGATTTAGAGAAGAAATTGGAGGAAGAGGCGAGCCAAATTAGATATGAATTGAAGGAGCATATTTTTACCATGGAGGGGATGTTCACAACCCTAGAAGAAATGAAAAAGAAGATTGCAGAGCCTCACACAAGCCCTCAGCCGCTTGTAGTGGGATCGAGTGACAACATTTGGAACAGACGCGAGCAACAACAATCAGAAAAATTCATGCGACAACATGGCAACATTGTTGTCTCAGGCGGATATGGAGTTGCGATATTGGATGAAGGAATGGAAAGCATATTCGAGTGTTAACACTTGGAAGGAATGTCGCACCATTTGGGTGGCTGAAACGAGTGGCAGTAGGCAAAATGTGACGACGTGCAAATCAGGGTTGGAGAATATCAATTGGAAAGATTTTGACATGAAACAAGGAACAGTTGTGGATGGGACACCGACGGAGGGCTACATCAAACCGCACCAGTTTTTTTTGTTGTTGTTGTAACCTTCTAGGCAGAAGGCAATTTTGGTGTTTATGGGGACGAGCAAACTAATTATGGGGCACGCTAGACTTATGGAAGAATAGAAATTAATATGGGTAGGGAAAGGGAACCCAACCCTCTCTTTATGGGTTGAATGAACTTTGATCATGGAAATTGTGGAGGAGACTCACTCATTAGGAGCTGAAGTTGCCGATCTTTGAAGCAGATGGTGCTTATGATTGAGTTTATCGTGTGGAGAAATACTTTATTGTGAATGGGCTGATGGAAGAAGAAAAATTGATTTATATTTGGAATGAAGTGTTCTTTCACGGATTGTTGGAGCTCTTCCCGCGTAGGAGGGGGAATTTACACGAGCAATTTTTTGCATTGGTTCAGGAAGGATTTGTTAGAGTATAGGAAGGAATTTGAGATGTTTTCCCGCTGTTTGCGAGGGATGTCAGAAGAAGTATTTGATGAAACTTCATGAAAGGATTGAAGCAGAGAATTGAGCATCACTTCTCCTGTTGAGATTACGAGGATTGAGGGAAATTATGGAATTAACGCAATTGGCTGTAGATAAAAATGCAACGGAATAAGCTAATAATAACAACACACCGAACTGCTACAATCACAATAATACCAAATGCTCAAACAATGGAGAGGCTTCACAAGACAAAATACGGGGCTACGATCAAATGCGATGCTTGAACGCCTTATAGAGACAAATTCAGGAGAAGTGAGCCAAGATGTTATGTTTTCAGTGTGATGAGAGGCTTTTTCCAGGACACCATTGCAAGAATTGAATATTACTTGTTATTGTGTGACAATGAGGCTGAGGATGGAGAAATAGAGACAACTGAGGTGGAGGAGAAATACTCACTTTTTTCCACCTTGCAGACAAGTTGTCTTTTGGGAGCGAGTATTGTTACGCCAGTGTCTAGCCTAAAGGAAATTTGTCTTTTGTGTGCCTAAGGTCAATTTAGGTTTTTGTCATTTATTATCGTTGGTTGTGAGTTTTTTAGGGTTTGGGAGAGATTTCCTACCTCTTGAATTGTAGGAATTGGGAGAGATCGTTTACCTCTCGAATTGTTGGTGTTTATTTTTTATTTTATTTTTTCATGGTTGCATTGTTTGTTTGGAGAAATAAAATATTTGTTTTGCCCTAATTTTTAAAGAGGATCCTAGGACTTTGCTTGTTCATTAAAGTAATCCGGTCAGATGGAATATCTTGACCCTGTTCAATTAATGTGGATTCGCTGCACATGTATAATTTGCTTCAACAGAGTGGCATTGGATCTGCTGCACAAGAGGCTTGCTCCACAGTGGTTTTGTCATCATTACATGCTTTTTGGCTGCCCCAAACAAGCATCACAATATAGCAATGACATAGGATGGGCTTCCGTACAATATGAAAACTAGGCTTATCGTATGTTCTATAATGCTATGAATCCCACTTACGTTGCTAGGCGCTTAGCAGTTTTAACTTGTAGCTTCTGTTTATCAAGTCATCATTGCTTTGCCTTATGCAGGAATTATTATTATTTTAGTTTTGAGCTGTGCTTATGATTGATATTTTTATTCATTTTTATCAGTTACGGGATGAACTCCAGAAGGAAACATTGCAAATTGCAAGTAAGGCACTTGCACCATAAGTTAGCGCAATTCTTGATTTCTTGAGTTTGTGATGATGATTTCTAAAGTGCATGTGTTGCAGGGGAGAACTTAGAGAAAGAACCTCGAATTTTGGAACTTAAAAATCAGGTGAGCTGCTGCTGCAAAGTAATGTTACATCATTCTCATCATCTTCATCAAATTTTCACGATTCTTTGGGCCATCTTTTCATCAATTTTTTTTTTCCAATTGACAGTTGTACTTGATAAATCTATTTTACCCAAATATTTTTTTCATAATTTTGTTTCAATGAACCTACTGTCCACCCTTTTTTTTTTCTAATTTAAGAACGTTAGTTTTATCTATCCACATAATGGTGAATCATCCATCTTCCATTACAGATGCTCAAATCACTGAAATGTATTTTTAACTACTTCATTGGATGTTGCTTCGACTGCTCTAATAATTATTTCTCTATATATTCTTAGTTTTATTAAGTATCCATTTTAATATTCGTATTTTTATCACATGCAACCTGACTAACAATTATTTTCCTTACCACCCAACACTAGCTACACTTGAATCTTTTGGTTATTTTTCTCACATAGTCCTCTTTAAGGCGGAATATAAAATTTTTATTACATTTTCTTTTTGAGGCACAATACTTATTTCCCGCATTTGCTGCAAATCCAGTGTACCATCATTCGCACCACAGAGCTGGCTGCTGCACAGGAGAAACTAGCAGATCTACAGAGGCAAAAGGAAGAAATGCTCAGAGTCTATTCTCCTTCGTCATTATTAAAGACGCTAAGCGGTAAGTCACGTGTTATTCATCCTATGGATAAGATGCCTTATTCTTTCTAAGAAAAAATAGACATTTTATTCTTCTATCACTCTTCTTTGACTTCATATATATTGAATAATAAATGTTTATGCCTACCCTTTACAACCTAATTTAGATGAGAAAATAATGGAAGAGCAGGTTAACATTGATTAGAGCGGACAGGCCTAAAAGTCCATGCCAGTGTGCTCCACGGATAAAAGTCAACCCGAACTTTAGCCTCTTGTTATTCACTCGCTTCACATTTTAGTTTTGTTCTATAAGCTTGCTGCAAGATTCTTGTAATCAAGTTTTATACCGTTCAGTTTCAATTTCTTTTTATCAGCAGTTGATTTAATATTTTTTTTTTTATTTAATTTTCTTAGCATTTACGTCTGGATTGTTTTTTCCCTTTAAATAATGTTGTTTCTTTGGTCTTTTGAGGACTTTGACATGAGTTTATGTTTAGATGTTTAATCAGAGATTCTGTACCTGAGATATTTTATTCAAATTTTAAAATGTTGTAGTTCAATCATCTATTTTTTTCCCTAAACATGTGTTTGTTTTTAGTATAATTTGATATTGCAATAATAAATGTCTTGCTTTTAAATTGGGAACAAATCTTCGAATATATTTCAAAATTCTTCTCTTAGAAGTGATTGTAAGCTGAAGGATTTTTATAATGGTAAATGATATTTTTAGAGGCAAGTCAAATACTCCACAAGGTGCTTGTTTTTATTTTTGAGCAAGTTAGGTGCTGTTATAGTGGCTCGTACTTATTTTTGAGCAAGTTAGGTGCTGTGGCTCGTACACCTCTCAGTTTGGCGTCATTGTTAGGGCACACCTATGCAAGCATTTTCGTAATGATATAGCTTATGAGGTTTTGTTTTTCCTTGATTTGAGAGATGGGTGTTAATACTTCAAATATTGAAGATGTATTAGTTTTTTGATGACTGCTCGATATGAGATGATGAGGTGAAAAGAGCATCAATTGTTTGCGAAGCATTGATACATTATTGGAATTATGTTATATAAATTTAAGGTGAAATGACCATAAGTTCCAACGTGTTAAATCTTTAGGATGATCTTGAGTAGATAGAGGTCAAAGAGGAGAGCCATGCTTTAAAATGGCAAGTAATCCATGATTTGGTGAGGCTTCGTCAGATACTTCATGCTGCATATGTTTGTACGTATTACTATATTTGACCAGAGACTAGATGAGCTTCACCCTAATTGTGAGGCACGATGCTTGACTTCAATTATGCAAGATTTCTATGAACCAACTCTTCACAACATATTATAAAGATGATATGGATTTCAAGCAATATTCAAGGATAAAATACAAATTAAATAGAGTTTTCTTTTTTCTTTTATCCTTTTTTTTTATTTTTTGTTTTTTGTTTTCTCCAGTGGGAGATGGGTGTAGTCCTATACATATTCCTCGATACAAATATCCAAATCTCCTAAATGGATTTCGAGCAAAATTCAAAGATTAAAAACAACTTAAATAGAGTTATCTTTTATTTTTTTTTTCCGTTTTTTTATATTTTGCTTTCTGTTTTCTCTAGCGGGGAGATGGGTGCAGTCCTATACATATTCCTCCATGCAATTATCTAAATCTCCTACTCTATTCCACATTGCCATGCACGTTTTGAAAAGTGAATTCACTGCCGTATTATGAGCGACTTATTTAAGGAATTATATTTTGTTGTTGATGCTATTTTGAAGTCGATTTCTTTACCGCATCACAGATGGAATGGATAAAATTGAAAAGGAATCGGAGTTATTGCACAAGCAGCTTCTTGAGAAGGACATTGATCTTCCAACTTTTGTACAGAAATATAAGAAGCTTCGAACAACATATCACAGGCGTGCCTTACTCCATCTTGCTGCAAAGACTTCTGGTTGAGTCCTCGTTGGTACTTGCGAAGTATGTGCTTCGATATTTTAGTGTCTGCTACATACCTATTAATTGTTCCGTTATATATTTGTTTCACAGTGATTAACTTTACTGTACATTTAATGCCATACTATATGCCGTTAGCAGCTTATGTATCTCTAGATGATACTAAATCTTCCTTGTGAATTTTTTTTGAGATCTTGGCAAATATACATGTTTTGTACATTCCAGTTTATTGGGTCTCTGAAATCAATAAATGGTGAAGTTGTGAGCGCTGCTGCTGTTGCTTCTGTATAAAATTTGAGAGGGCTGGGTGGGTTTGAAATGTTTTGGGATTGGTTTACATGCCCTGAGCAGGTACCCTTCTTGTTTCATCAAATATTATAATATTGTCTTATTTTGTTCAACTAGATTTTGTTTATTTGAAAACAGCCTGAATACATGATTTAGTGGTTGTGTGAGTTAAGAATATCGTTTTAACTTAGGGGCATTTACATTCCACCCAATTTCTATTTATTTACATTTCTAACACAAACTTTGTTTTTTTACATTTAAACTACCCAAAATGTTCATATCACTTAAAAAAATACCACGATTTAACTTTTAAAAATTGAAATACACCTTATCATGCACAGTTAACGTATGTATGTAAAAGTTGAAGTTTAATCGTTAGATATGTAAATACATAAGAATTGAGTGGTATGTATGTAAATTGTCATTTAACTTATTGCAAGGCGAGTTTAGGTGAGGGAGTTGATTGTCTTGTATCATAAATATGCTTTTTCACGGTTTAATTGGGGATGCAAGATGGCAAAAGCATGCGTAGTAAATTATCGAGCAAAAAAGAGAATATTATGTGAATTGAAATATATCGAGGCAATGAACATAATATTCTCTTTGATGAAAATATTATTTTTATCATTAATTTTTTGGAACCTGCCATCTATTTCTTTCTATGGAGGTTTCACTTTAGATTAGGATGTTGCAGCTCGCTTAGGACAAAGCTCGGTGCATCTACTTAAGCGTTCAAGGCATTATCGTCGGCATATCAAGGAATGCAAAGCATCGTTGCAAGTTGCAACGCATACCGAACCCATTGATTATCGTTCATAATCGTTACATTTTTTTGTTTCTTGTTTTTTTTTTCTGAAGATTGATCCTTCTATATTTCAACATAATCAAGGAATGCCAATTCTTTCAATCTTGTCTTTTTCAACTCTCGGATGCAATTGTTGTAATTTTTTAGATATTAGTATAATATAGTAATGATAATCTGATGGATGAACTATAGTATAGTGTTGTCGCTACGCAAATTAATAACAAAAAACATGAGACGAGGTTTACTCCATTGTGTGATATGAAAGCAAGAAACTAATCTTTAGACCCAATTATTCTAAAATTATCTCTTATTATTATTATTATTATCATTAATATTTATTTGTTTATAGCTCTCTCTATGATGTTTACCTTGATCATAATAAATTTAATAATTTTTTGGACCTTTGTGTGAAGAAGTAAATTTTCTTTTCTTTAGTAGATTAGAGCTGTCATTTGGATTAATATTTGATGGTCATCTTTCTAGTTGTACAAATTCCCCTCCAATAAGGTTAAGTATCCAGATGACTGCTCACCTGATTGCACATGATATCTACGATTGTTGTCTATTGTCAACCAAATATAATGCCCGGCAAAAATTTCATTTTGTAGAGAATTAACAAATTAAATAATATTTATGGTATTCATTTCATTGCTTTGTTGCATGTTATTAATGTTCCGCATCTAAGCACTGAGATTCTTTGGATTTCGGATGTGCATTTGGGTTAGCATTAAACTTCAGAGATTTTCCCTTGAGAGCCCCATCTTCTTTGCTCCTCTATCCTTCTCAAGTCTTTGCCCCTTAAGTTTTCCGTTGCCTCTTTGGCTTGTCCGCTAACTGTCGGCGAAATCTGGGTAGACCATAACAGCAAGGCGCGGGTAAGGAAGATGGAAATGTGTGATGAAGGATGGAAGCGCTTCGAGGAAGAGGAGATCATGACTATGGAGATGAACGACAATGTGATGACATGATTAATGGAGGGGCAGGCAGATGACTTACATCAATGGCGTGATAAAGTATGAATTAATCAAGCCATCAAATGAAGCTCTCTCGTTTGATGGGATTAATAAATTTATATCTTGTTCTTAAAAAAATGAATGTCTGCTCCATCAGTATCTCCTAGTAAATTTACGCTTCAAATTTTTATTATTCTTGTGTTTACGAGGCATCGGGGAAAAAATTGGGAAATGACCTTTAAAAAAGGAAGTTTTACTTACATATCACTATATTCTAATGTATTTACATATCTAACACCTAAACTTCAATTTTTACAAACATACCACCTTATACATGCATGGAATGCTGTATTTTACTTTTTACAAATTAAAATAGTGATATTTTTCACGTGATATGAAAGATATTAATGGTACAAAAGTGTTAGATATGTAAATCCATAGAAATTGGTTGATATGATAAAGGATTATCATTTCATGGTCATAATGAATCATCAGAATCAATTAATCAGGAAATTTTTTTGCAACTGTTTCATCATTTCCTTGCGAATCATAATAAAGAAATAAAAAAAAGCTTGCCTCTAGTTCCGCCTCAGAATTAGGCACATACTTATTTGCAAATACATACTACCGAAATCTTTAAAACTATATCAAAATATCACCATCATTATCTTTTTTAAAATAAAACACCTTTTCATGCATAGGTTTTTAACCCCAAGGTGTTGAAATATAAATATCAAATTTAGAGTGTTAGATATATAAATACATAAGACTTGTGTGGTATGTACATAAATTTTGTGTGCTCAGATTTTTCTTGGTAGGATCTTAAGAGAAAATGTAATTGTGGAATATCTCGAAGTGGGAGATCAAACAATGCCCCTTTAAGACCTTTGCTGAAATTCGTTTATGATTTGCAAGGAGATTTGAGTCCCCCTTTTTTTTAGCTTTCTTTAATTTATATATCCTAGATAAAAAAATAAAGAGAAAGGATAAATTTACACCGAAGATTGTGGGTATAAAGCTAACATAAAGTCAACCAATATCTTTAATTAACTTATATTCTTATCATAACATCCAATCAGTCCCGGGCAAGTTTTGGTTAATTTCTTAATAAATATTGTAATTCTAATACATTCATATGCGGCAAGACTAAAGATGTTGGAGTATGGAGCCTGCAGCCTGAAAGAGTTGAACTTCAGCACCTTCAAAGAGGTGCTCCTGCACCCACGCCTCTGAGACGGTTTTGAATTCAGTGCTTATAACCTCGATTTAGAACGACGAGGCTATGTATGCGCATGCAGTGATTTTGGAAGCTTTGGATTACATGGGTATTAAGATGATAGATTTTTGGGTGGTTGATGAAGGACCTTCTCCTGAACTTGACTATGTTGAAGTGAGACTGAAGTTTACAGAGAGGATGTTATTCAATCCGCTAAAGATCCCAACATATCATGAAATATGCAAAGTCAACGTAATTTTTTTTTTATTTTGAAAGTTTACATTATTTATTTACTTATACTACATATCTAAAAATAAGAATTTTTATATGTATAGGGGAAGGTTTCAATGATGCTATAATTGAAATTATAGAATGTGATGATTTGGAAGCTTTCGGATGAGCTAGTAGACATACAACTTTTGGGGAAACAATTTTTGCGGTGACCTTCAGTGAAGATAATTTTTGAATTTGTCATCTTTAATTAAAAGAATTTTTTTTTGGTTTTATTTTTATTGATATGTTTTGTTTCTTTTTTTTATCTCAAGTGAGTATAATTTTATGAAACGATTGTCAAGCTCTGAAGTTTTTTGTTTATATTTTATTTACATTATATATTTTGTCTAAGATTTTATTTTAATATGATTAATGAATCATTTATGTTACGCTTATAATTTTGCCCTTCCATTTGAAATTTAAAATATTTTTTTATTTACATTTATTATGCCATCTGGTTCAACCCTCCCGTTCAACCCTGGTTAAATTGATGAACTTTGAACTTTTCCTTCTTTTGGTTTGATGTCCGGTTCGGATTTCAAAACTTTAGTTTTGGCAGATGCAGTGAACATTACAGTGTATGCGATCAATTGTGGTCCATCAATAACTTTTAAGGAAGGCTTGAAGAAGCGTGGAGTGACAGAAGTAAATCTCATTTGAAGGCATTTCGTTCTTCTGCATATTTACATGTTGATACATGGTCCAAGAGTAAATTAGACTCCAAATTTGTCAGGTGTACTTTCATTAGGTATGTCTCAGATGAATTTAGGTATAAATTTTGGGACTATCATTATCAAAAGTTCATTAGAAACATAGATGTTACTTTCAATGAAATAGAGATTTATATGGTTATGATCAAAACTCAAGATTTCTTGTCAGTTACTTTTGAAGAGTCCAAGTATATTGTGATACAAGATACTAGCTGTTTACGTTCCTTCCTCTTTTTATTTTTAAAAGAGTCGCTAGTTTGTCCATCGTCGTATACTTCCATTTTCGGAAAAAAGTCTATCTTCTGGATCATCTGAATGATAAGGAGAAGAGAAGAGGCAGAAAAGATGAACATACGACAAAGAAGACAAACAAGAGAAATAACGTGGAGAGCTTATCTTCAATAAAACTTGCAAGGATAAGTAAGTATGTCAGTCCAAATAAAATCGAGTGGAAGCACATTGGATCAATATTCGCAAAAGAATACCTATGTAGACTACCCACAACCATAAATTCAAATGTGTTTGCCTATTTTGGGGTCTATAGCGCTCCCAAGAGGATGTATCCACTTAGTTAATTATATATTAAAGGTTGTCCAAGAATAATCTTGATCCGAAGGAGTTTTGCTTACATTAGTAGTGACGACTAGCATGGGGCTATCAAAGGGCAGTTACTTTGCAGGGGAATGCTCCGATGCTTTTAATGCTTCTGTCGAGCCATGGGCCGGAGAGTGAGTTTCTCACGATCCCACATGGGTAACAGACTCATTGACATACATAGCATGTGAAATAACTGAATCATCCGGACAGAAAATCCAATACGTCAAAGCACATCCAAGCAGTAAAAGCAGAGGATAAATTGTCGTATCCCAAACGGGCTGCAACTCATCATTAATCAGGTCGTTAAGATGATACAAACGAAGGCAAAAGGAGCGGCAGAGCTTAACAATGACAGATCAAAGGAGAGAGGAGTAATCCGTAGAAGGT